ATAATGTAATAATATCATTGTAATATTATTAATATAATAAATATAATTATATCAATACAATATAATATATAATATATTATAAAATAATAATTACAATATCATATTATAATTATAATATTATGTTATTAAAATAATTATAATATTATTATAATATCATATTATATGATAAATTAATAATATTAGAGTTATTAATATAATTATGGTATTATTTATTATAATATTACTATTATATTATATTATATTACGAGTTTGAATTTTAAATTGAGAATATTGTAAATTTTAAATTTCATTAGGGGTATAATGGGTATTATGAAAGTTTTATTAATTGTACTATTTTGATTCCCGCACAATCTAAAAGCTAAAGTTGTCTTTAGACTACTTCTGATTTTGGCTGTAGATTCTTAAATTTTTTTTAAAAAAGCACTTTTGAGGATATTTACTAGACACTAAAATCAGCTTCTGCTACAAGCATAAGCTGATTTTAAGAGGAAAAAGTAATACCAAACTAAGCCATTATTGTTCCTATTAGATATTTCCTTTGCTAAATTAACGTTTTTGTATTTTTAATTCATGTTATATTACCATCACACCAACAAACATTGCCCCAATTTAGTTCGTTAGTTCAAATTTTATTGATTTGAACTTTTTTGTTTTAAATAGAAAATTTTAAACTGTGTGGTTTAAATAGTAGTTTGAAATGACGTTAGATGTGCAGTTAAAATTTTAACCTAAATAGGAATAAAATTCAAACTTGTGTTTGGTAGGTGCAAAAGCATGGAGAGTAGACACTTTTTCACTGTTCAAAAAACTTAAGGGGAGCTAAGCTTTAAGTTGGATAGTTTAACTCAATTTAAACGGAGAATATAATTCTATTCGAACTAAGTTGAACTGAAATAAACTAGTGAAACAAACGAGACATAATCAATCAATTCGGCACTTCTAAACAATTCCTTGACCTAAAATTGATTGTCAATCCACCAAGCTCTTAGACGGTTTGGTTTGCCAACAGACTAATGTGGCACTGCCCCATCAATTAGCAGCAATCGGCTTCCCGATGGTTATTTATCAGTTAAATTGAACAATCATACATCAAGTAGTATTGAGTAGAGTTGTCAAACGTGCTGTGCCGGGCCGGCATGACACGCTTAACACCAGGCCCATTAAGGGCCTGGGCCGTGCCTGGCACGGCCCTGCACAGTGCAGGGTCATGCCTGGGACGGGCCTGAGAAGAAAAACTCAGGCCCAGTCCAGGCCCTTCACTGGCCGGCCCCGGCCCTTGTATTTTTTTTAAAATTTAATTAAAAAAATATATCATATGTCCCAAAAGATGTGATTTTATTGAATTGACGTAATAGGAGTACACATAAATGATTGCCTCGTTAAAAACCTTACTAAGTAAAACTCGTGGGGAGATCGAGATAAAATCTTAGCGAAGGAAAAAAGAGTGCAGTAGCTAGGAATAGTAAATTACGAACCTAAGTGCTTCCAGAAGATTCTGTTATTTCTAAGTTAAAAAAATATTCTTGCATCGAATCATCTGTGTACTGTTGTTTTCGTCTTCTAGCATATTCTCAGTCTTTAACGCACATTAGCCCCTCCAAGATATCTGGATGCATTATGCTTCTCTTCTCGTCAAGAATTCAGTTGCTTGCGCTAAAAGCTTGCTCTGATGCTACCGTTGACACTAGAGTTGTCAGAATGTCACGAGCTATTATGGACAGTGTTAGAAAATGATCGGTCTTGCTCTTCCACCACTGTAAGATGTCTAGTTTGTCGTCATCGATTGCAAAATTTGCTTCAAAATATTTTACTAATTCTGTAGACGCTTGTGTTGAGGATGATCTTGCCATTTTCTCTTTCTTCTTCAAGAAACTCCACGATGATCCTTTAGGCCCCGAGCTGGTAGTTGACGACGAAGTTCCCTGTTCTTTTTGACCTGTGCTGTATTTTGCTTCATACAAACTAAAAACCTTTTCTGACATTTTCTTAGCATCTGTAATACTTAGTTGCATATCTATTTCTAAATTCTCTGCGGTAGCAGTCATCAATAATTCAGTTCTATCTACTCCGCACCTAGGATCTAAAATAGTTGCTAATACATATAACATAAGACAACCTGACCAATAACTTTTAAATTTATTTTCCATTAACTTAACTATATTTCTAAAAAGTTTTGTATCCCTATAATAAGAAAATGTTTCTGAAATATTAAATAGTTGATGTAAAGCTAAATGTGCAGTAGGATAATAAACTCTAGAAAGTAATTCAGTAGCATTGTAAAAAACTTCTAGAAATTTTAAAAAATACTCAGCAATCTGCCAATCAGGATCGAAAATTAAAATTTGATCATTCTTACTGTTTACGTATATCGTGATAAGCTGTGCATACGGGAGTGCTGCCTTCAACATTAAATATGTTGAATTTCACCTATGTCTCACGTCCGTTGGAAACTTTCTTGGCCACATATGACTCCTCCTGAAATATTGTTTGAATTCTTGGAGCCGAGCTCCAGAACTAGATATGAATGATAATGATTGTCTAATATTTGTAAGATTAGCTAAGATATGTTCAATTCCTGCCTGAACTACTAAATTAATTATGTGACATGCACACCGTTGATGAAAAATTTCCCCTCCAAATGCTGGTTTCAAACTACGTTTAAACAGATTAATTGCAGCTGTATTATCTGATGCATTTTCAAAAGTAATTGTTAAAACTTTATCTTCTATCCCATAAAACTAAAAAATTTCTATTATTGTACTAAAAATAGATGATGCGTTATGAGGATATGGACATAAACGAAAACCAATTATTCTTTTTTGTAAAACCCAATCGTCATCAACATAGTGCGCTGTGACACATAAATATCTAGTTTTATTGCACCCTCCCACAGATTAGAAGTGCAAGAGACAGTAGCATTAAAAGTCCTAAAATTATCAACAAGAGATTGTCTCATTGCATAAAAAGCTTTCATGCAATCAGAACGAGTTGTGTTTCTACTTACCCGTTTAAATTGTGGGCAAAAGGCTATCTGGATAAATTCTTCGAACGAGGCATCATCTGCAAAAGAAAGAGGCAATTCAGCACTAGCTAGAAATTTAGCTAGTGCCTCACGAGCACGTTGTGCATCGTATGTAAAATTTTGTAACCCCTGTGATGTGAGTGATAGTGTTTGTTGGCGAGAGTCCACACTCCAACTTTAGTGCAACGATAGACATACTTTCCAATGTCTATCCAGATGACCAGTACTCCCACCCTTTTAATTAGAAAGTATTTTTTACAATATTTACATACCGCACGAATTTCTATCTCACCTGTTTTTGGATTTGGTCGGGGCTCCTCGGTGAAATGCTGCCATGACGGAGAAGTTCGCGGTCTTTTTCCCCTACTGCGTTCTCCAGCTTCCTCGTTGTGCACTGAAACAATATCCACCATAACATTTTCTGGTTCAGTGGGGGTGGGGTGGGGAGGCATCATTTCTTCCTCAAAAAATGCATCATCACCAAGCTCAAGAATAAGAGTGAAATCAAGGAAGTTTGGTGCGGCCATTTTCTGAAAATTGATAGAACTTGATTGAACTTTGTAAATGAAAGCGCAAGAAAATGAATGAATGAGAGAAAAAAAAGCTTAGAATCAAAATCAAAGAGACAAGTTGAGAGATAAAATTAGAGTGAGATGAGAAGTTGAGAGTGAATTATTGTGTGAGATTTATGGTGGAATTAAGAGGTATTTATAGGGGATTTTGAGGTGAAATTCCGGATTCTAGCCGTTGGGCCCTTCGCGGGCCCAACGTGCGGCACGTGACGGGCCTCCCATTTGGCTTGTCACATGCCAAACGGGAGGCACGTGACGGGCCAAACGGGAGGCCCGTCACGTGCCGCCCGTTGGGCCCGCGAAGGGCCCCCTGGACCAATTGAAATGGGCTGTTTCATGGGCCGTTTCGCAGGCTTGGGCCGGGCCGAACAAGGGCCGAATCAGGGCTTGGGCTGTGTCGAACAAGGGTCGTGCCGCGGGCCTCCACGTGCTTGGACCGTGCTTGGGCCGCGGGCTGAGAAGCTGAGGCTCAGCCCTTGCCCACTACACGTGCCGGGCTAGCATGGCCCGTAACAGTAGTGAACCGGACCGTGCCGAATCCAGCATTATTACGGGCTGGGTCTAGCCGTTCATGGACGGCCCGGCCCATTTGACACCTCTAGTATTGAGTTAGCTCCTTTCAGTTTCTTGGTGTACACAAAACTTTAAAAAGACGAAGAGGATGAGAACATGATGCCATCCCCTTAATTTATTTATTTATTTTTAAAATACAAGTAACTGGTTTTCACTTATTCACACAAATAACTCGTAAATAAATATATAAAAAGAGTGAAACTATGAACAGCACCATATAGTAAACTGGTGAGGACAATTACATTACATGTTTTGAACCAACAAAAATTTAGCATACTGAGCATTATCAGAAGTTCAAGTACTATAATAACAAACGACTGACAAAAGACGACGCAGTTCTAGACTTTTGCGACATGAATTGCTCTCATCCCTCGTTGGTAGTATTCCCAATGTGTATCCGCATAATCCTTCACGTTTGTGAATAACTTGGGCCTTTGGTTGTTAATCAAGCCTAGTTCTGGCCCAATCTCCTTTTTTCGTTCTGGTGTATAGAACATAGCCACTGACATCCTTTCCCTCTTTGAGTTGGCTACTACCCTATGTACTGGGCTCTTGAAGATTCCATTGCTCATTATCTGCTAGTTTTTATATAGATCACATTTCCATTTTCCATTACTTTTCCTTTATTTTTTCTTTTTGTAATATATATATATATATATATATATATATATAATATGATACTAAGAGGATGTTAGGTACTTAGATTCGTTCTCTGATTCGAATCATGATTCGTGGTTCGTTATAGTATTTTCTCTCACAAAAATACTCGTAAATAAAAAATAATTATAATCATATGATTCTAATTCATGAACCAAACGTCTCATAAATATTAAAGTGACCACTAAAACCACGTCTATATATATGATAGTATAGAAATGTAATCATTAAAAACTCATCTATATATATCACGCCATTTAAATCATATAGCAAAATAAAATAATACGTGTATAATTGATACAAACCTCCATTTGATCACCCATGAGGACCAAGAGTGCATCAGAAACTGTGGGTACTGTGGACCATTGTTGTTGTTTGAAGACTTGAAGACCCTCCACATCATCTTGCAAGATAACGGTGTACCCTGTTCCATCTGAGTGTGGCTTTAGGCCAAGAACAAGATCAGGCCTTGTGGCCGGCCCGTCGGGCCGCTGGTGGGCCCCGCGAATGGCCCCCTGGACCAATTGAAATGGGCTGTTTCATGGGCCGTTTCGCAGGCTTGGGCCGGGCCGAACAAGGGCCGAATCAGGGCTTGGGCTGTGTCGAACAAGGGTCGTGCCGCGGGCCTCCACGTGCTTGGACCGTGCTTGGGCCGCGGGCTGAGAAGCTGAGGCTCAGCCCTTGCCCACTACACGTGCCGGGCTAGCATGGCCCGTAACAGTAGTGAACCGGACCGTGCCGAATCCAGCATTATTACGGGCTGGGTCTAGCCGTTCATGGACGGCCCGGCCCATTTGACACCTCTAGTATTGAGTTAGCTCCTTTCAGTTTCTTGGTGTACACAAAACTTTAAAAAGACGAAGAGGATGAGAACATGATGCCATCCCCTTAATTTATTTATTTATTTTTAAAATACAAGTAACTGGTTTTCACTTATTCACACAAATAACTCGTAAATAAATATATAAAAAGAGTGAAACTATGAACAGCACCATATAGTAAACTGGTGAGGACAATTACATTACATGTTTTGAACCAACAAAAATTTAGCATACTGAGCATTATCAGAAGTTCAAGTACTATAATAACAAACGACTGACAAAAGACGACGCAGTTCTAGACTTTTGCGACATGAATTGCTCTCATCCCTCGTTGGTAGTATTCCCAATGTGTATCCGCATAATCCTTCACGTTTGTGAATAACTTGGGCCTTTGGTTGTTAATCAAGCCTAGTTCTGGCCCAATCTCCTTTTTTCGTTCTGGTGTATAGAACATAGCCACTGACATCCTTTCCCTCTTTGAGTTGGCTACTACCCTATGTACTGGGCTCTTGAAGATTCCATTGCTCATTATCTGCTAGTTTTTATATAGATCACATTTCCATTTTCCATTACTTTTCCTTTATTTTTTCTTTTTGTAATATATATATATATATATATATATATATATAATATGATACTAAGAGGATGTTAGGTACTTAGATTCGTTCTCTGATTCGAATCATGATTCGTGGTTCGTTATAGTATTTTCTCTCACAAAAATACTCGTAAATAAAAAATAATTATAATCATATGATTCTAATTCATGAACCAAACGTCTCATAAATATTAAAGTGACCACTAAAACCACGTCTATATATATGATAGTATAGAAATGTAATCATTAAAAACTCATCTATATATATCACGCCATTTAAATCATATAGCAAAATAAAATAATACGTGTATAATTGATACAAACCTCCATTTGATCACCCATGAGGACCAAGAGTGCATCAGAAACTGTGGGTACTGTGGACCATTGTTGTTGTTTGAAGACTTGAAGACCCTCCACATCATCTTGCAAGATAACGGTGTACCCTGTTCCATCTGAGTGTGGCTTTAGGCCAAGAACAAGATCAGGCCTTTCACAGCATGAGTAGTAGTTAAACCTAGCTCCTAGCATTGCTCTTTCACCAAATTGGTTCAAGAAGCAGTTCTCTTCCAAGTTCAATGACTTTGCCATGGCTTTGGAAACCACCTCCGTTAAGGCCTTTATCTTAACGGTGTACTCTTCTAAAACACATCTGTTGATGATGGTAAGTAAATCATGTGTAAATCAGATGAACTAATTCTCTGGCCCTGATGAGTGAAGAAGTGTAATATGTAGAATTCTTTTTATGTATGTAATGTGAACTTTGTTATACATTGCTATTGGATTTTTAACCAACCCCATTTTCAGATTTTTTCAGTGAGGATACTATTGAAAAAAAAAAACAGAGAATTTTTTGTTATTTAGGGATATATTTGTAACTTTCCACTAGTAAGTGGGGCACAAATAGAATTTTTCTTCTAATATTTATGTATAATTGAAATTTTTCAAAAAAAATTAAGTGTAAAAATTAAAATTTCAAAAGTTGAGTGGGGACATATGCCTTAATTAAGTGGCCCCGTTGCTGTCCTTTGTCATGTATTAATTTTGAGATTTGTACATATTTGGCCGGTTTAGTTGGTTGATTTGAGTTTTTAATTTGAGTTGAGATGTGATTTTATATTAGAGTTTTTTACTGTAGTAAAAAAGTTAGATGTGATTATTTTTAAGAGCTTTTTACTGTAATAAAACTCGAATTCTAAATTTGAATCGGTGAAATAAATGAGACTATTATGATTTGAAGATTCACAAAGTTTTACATGACGGGATTTGTCTGGTTGGAGAACTATGGTAGATGCATCAATGATCAAGTAAACTCAGCATGTGTGTGTATAATTTGAGCACTTTGAACTTTTACGAAAATACAAAGTAAAAGCAGTGTTGGAAGTACCTGAAGGAAGTGGGGCTTTGAGGCCAAATTCCGAAATTTCTTTGATCTTCAGGATGAACATCAAGAAAGAGGCGATCAGACCAGTCAAGAGGCTGACCTTCTTCAGGAACAGGGTCTGCCCCATACCCTTGGAACTCTTCAACTCCTTTAGAGTATTTCCTTTTCTCTTCCATTGGTTGTTCAAAGAATTCCTTTCCCACTTGGCGAATCCTGTCTAGGAAAGAAGTTGACATTCCATGACCTATTGCCTGAAAATCAATTGTGATTCCTTATAGTATTGTGTAATTGTGAAAAAAAAGGAACACAAAAGTGAGTTTTGACCTGAAAGCAGCCCCATGAACATAGTGCTGATCTAAGTTTATGTAGTTCAACTTCATGCTCAGCACATGGTTCTGAAGATGAAAGGATACTGAGGTCAACTATGGGTATTGGAGATAACTGAGATGGAACGTCTTCTTCAGCTTCGACACCATCTCGACATACGTAGAGATGTGGGGGCTCTTCGCCGTCGAGAACCATTTCTTGGACGCGCTTCGACAGCAGTACCTCCGCTGGGAGAAGGGAGACACCAGCCATGGTGAGAAGAATGTGTATAATTCTTTTTTAGCTTAGAATTATGATGTTTAGCAAGATTGATCAGTTGAGAAGATGCTATGTAGTAAATGGCAAATGATGAAAGGAAATTAATAATATTTGAGAAGACAGCCCTTGTCAGGCACAACCAATGGAAGGAAGCTGTGTCAACATCATTGTTGAATGTTGATTGGTTTTCTTAGTACTATCAGATAAGGTTTACTTTGAAAACTAGTCCTAGAATCTTGATTCTTGAAAAAGAATCATTTTTCTGTACACACGTGGTATACCTATACGTGTAATGTATATTATGCTCGGACAAACTTTGATGCAACTTGCAAATTATATCAGTATGTAATATACCAGCTTTCTACTTTTCCTTGGATTTTATATTATGTTTTAACTGAAGAAAGAAAATATTACCAAGAAAACGGACAAAGGCAATACAGCGAAAAAATGGTATCCATTTGATTTGTTAATTGTTACTTTTTCAAATGGATAGCTCAAGTTTCGGACGATGTTGATGATTGATCTCAATAGGCTGGTGGGTCCGTGTTAAGGCCCCAATTAAATTCACTTATGCCAGGAGACCGAAGGCCAAGACGAAAGCCCAGGGGTAGGAAGGGAATTTGGTACAGGCTGCTGAAGGAATTCCCGAGGAGGAAGTGGGTTAGAAGGGATCGCCTCAGGAATGTGAAGACTGTTAGAATTTGTTAGGAAATTCTGTTATTCTCTGGGTGAGCGTAAAATAAAAGGGGGGAGGGAATGAAGGGGTAGTGGAGGCAATTATTCAGTGGGAAGAGATTGGTTAGGTGGGAGAGCTAGCAGACCTCTCCAATAGTCTGCGAATTTATCCTCATTTGTATGTGTTTTCTTTCTGAAGAAAATAAAGAACAGAGCAATTCTTGCTCAGAATCGTCTCATTTCTTGTTCCAATTAATCCGGATTGTATCAGTCCGCTAACTGGATAATTCAATTTCATCTACCCAGGAATGTATAGAATCTGTGTGGCATAAGCAACTATTGGGGATTTGTCAGCTTATAGCATTTTAGATCACGTGTACTCTCATCTCTGGAAGGGGCAAAACGTTGGCTCCTTTCGTGCAGATATTATACCCAATTTGTTTATTACCAACCATGTTCATCCCTTTACAAACGATCCGTGGAATTAAGTAAAATGTCTCTAATAACTTTATAACCAGCCTTCTATTTGGAGGTTTTCATATGATAGTTTATCAAGTGTAATGACAGTTTTAGAGGCATATTAGTACATGGATGCAGCAAAACAACAATCTCGTATTACATAAGTCCATAAAATCTATGTACAGAGAACCTGGAAACTTGGACATCTTATTCTGATAATACAAAGGTTCATTATTACTGAAATTCAAGACCAAAAAGAAGGAAAAAGAAAGTATTGCTTAAACGCTGTATATTTCCAGCTTCATCTGATTGATCTTCTGTGGAATGAGACCAGCTGTGCACTATAGATTTCCACCTTTTAGATGTGGGAGGAAAAACAGCACACTACCTCAACTTAGTCCACTGGTACTTCCACCTCCATATTTACGCCAGAACTGCCAAAAACCTGCAAGGAGCCGTATCGGTATTATTTCAGAGGACAAGATTAAGATTCACTTCCTCGATGACCACGATGACCGAAACGACAAGGAAAATCTAGACCCCCAATTTTACCCCAAATGAGAGGCTTTGGATCCCTTAGTCAATTAAAGTTAAAATCAACCAAAGAATTTTTCAAGAGAAAAATACCTTGATGAAATCATCCAACATTAAACAAGATTCCCTTGTGTAGCCTGCTTCTCCCAGAACTTGGATCAAGACTTTCTGCATGTCAGACAGAAAATTGAAATAATTGACAACGTGCTTCTGCGGTCATTGAAAGTAAACAGAGTAATGGCACTAAACAAAGAGAACAGAACAATATCCAACATCATTCACAAACAAGCATGAGAATAACACTAACATACATGCCTCAGCGGCTCAACCTTGAATTATTATCTGTTAATTCGGTTTCAACAACACCCTCATTTTCTTTCCAAACTTCTCTAACAACTGTTGATTTTCACCTCACATGCTCCGGTTAAAAGATAAAATGGAAAGAATTCAAGGTTGGATCTTTGATCATACCTCTCTTTGCTCATCTGACATGAATGAACCAGACAAATCCCGCAGCACTTGCAGTATGTCGTTGAAAGACACTTTTCCATTACCATCAGTGTCATACACCTTGAAAATCACTAACAAAGAAATACACATTAAAATCATTACTACCAAAAATTTCATCTCCTCACGAAGGCCATAAGAAAAAGGGATCATGCTTTATAACAAACAGTAAATACCAGAAGAATTTACACGGAAAAGAGTTAATTAACACTCACGTTCAATTTTCTGCTGCAGACTAGCTTTAGTGCTGAAAGCAGATAAGAAAGCCACAAAGTCCTTAAAATTTAAACCATCCGCCATTTTCAGCAGCCTCTGAAGAAGAAGCAAAAACATCAAGCTATGAAATGTATATATCAATCCTATATCATCATATCAAATTCAGTCTTTCTCAAAAGAAATATCTGGCAATAGTAAGAAAAAGGAGATTTTTAGCTTAATACCTGAGAAAGCGGGTTCATTGCAAACTCGGGAACCGATAAGAACTCATCGGCCGAGATGAAACCTTTTGAATTCCGATCAAGTTGACAAAATCTTTGGTATAAGGACACTATTTCTTGCTGAGAGACTGATTGAAGGCCCAAAAAAAAAAGGGTCAGAATTAAACAAAACTAAAAGAAAAGAAAAGAAAAACAAGAATAAAGCCATTAAACTGAAAAACCCACATAGATTATTGCAATGTTCCTGAACTTCTTCAATGTCATATTGCGTTAACATCGATGAGGCACTTCCCATTGGTTCTCTCTATAAAACTACACACACACACAAAAAAAAAAAAAAAGAAAGAAAACGTTAATAATCTAATTAAGCAACCCCAAACCCATGGATGGAAATCCAAAAACATACTATAGTTTTTCCACTTTCCAAGGTTGGATTCTCTGAATGGTCGCTGAGATAACGGCGCGTTGAAAACAGAATCTTAAAAAAAAAAAAAAAAAAAAAAATAGAACCTTGATAATACTGGTATAGCTCACTTGATTTTATTCGTTACTTGGTAAACATTCAATTGGTGGAAAGAACAAAAACAAAAAAAAAATTGTTCAATTTTTCTATTCATCTGATTATTAGAGTGCTTTTCCCGACAACCAAACAAACGGAAAAAGAAAAGAAAAGAAAAGAAAAAGGAAAGAAAAGAAAAGAGAGGGACCTGAAATTGTGAGCCCGATAAGACGATATGGTTGGAACGAGGGAGATATGGTAGAACTGATATAGGGTCAGTTTGGAAGGGACATGAAAATGGATTTTTAACTTTTTCCTTCTTTTGATTGGACCTTGTCATCATCGAACGCTTTGAAACAGACAATATCTGGTTTATAGTAGACAACGAAGTTCGTTGATGACAAAATAAGACCGATAGTGTACATGGAAGATGGAACTTAAAAATAATGTACTTGATGCTGGCTGCATTTATATAGCTTGTATTTATAATCTAAAGTCCAACCTCTCTTAGCTGGAGAAATTTTTTTGAATAAGCTTTGTGCTCTTTTTTTTTTTTTTTTTTTTTTTCCTGGAAGAGAAAATAAAGAGGAAAAAGATAGTTAGCAAACATTAATAAAAGAAAAGGAATTAGAAACAGACTTTACATTGTAGTTATAATCAGAAAACATTATAGTTTAATACAAAGCATCGCTTGTCTAATAAAATATATAAAAAGTCTAAGTAAATGAAAAGAATGAAAAGAATTAGCACGTACCATTGAAATGTAGAACGTTTAACTAATGGTGAATATGTCTTTTCTTGGTCATTGTCAATTCATCAAATCTAATAATTCATGGTACACAATATTTTTAGTTTGCTTATCGTTAAAAATATCATCAAGTCCAGGTCAAATAAGTACTTTCACATATTGCATTGTTTTAGCTCTAGATAAAACAACATATAATTAACCATGTGAAAATACATGTTCTGGTAAATAAATCCCTGACATAATCTAAAGTTTGTCCTTGAGCTTTATTTATTGTCATAGCAAAGCTCAATCGAATTCTTTTAAAAGGAATTCCAATTTGTTCGCTTTCAATAGGTATAAATGGAATTCTTGATCAGAATACTCGTTTTCTTCAATTATGACCAGTGACTATTTCTGCATCAATCAAATTTGGACTAAAATTACAGCAAATTAATCTTGTGCCGTTGCATAATCCTTCAGAGGGATTAATATTTCGAAGCAACATAATGGGACAATTTTTTTCAACACTAATTGGTGAGGAGGAAAACCACTTGGTGTAAAGCTATTCAAGAAATCCTCTTGGATGTTTTGTTCATTCTTTTCCATTGCCTCATCAAAACTATAGTATGCAACAGGATCACCTGGAAATTGTTGAATGAGAATATTATTTAGCTCATCTGCATAATCGTTTCTTGGTGTTAATATTGCTCGGTTAATCATTGTGTTTATGTTTTGAAAATATTGATTTCGATATGGGAAAACAGTGTTTAGTAATTTTGTTGTTGATGTCAAATCTTCTTCATATGGAATGATCATAGTAGGAATTTTTATATTTCCAATGTCAGTTGTTGGTTCTTTCCCATCTCCTATTCGTAGCAAAAATCACAGAATTGCCAGTCCAATCTTGCTAGCATATTTTCAGTGAGTACAATCTTTTTGAGACGTGACCACAAATAAGATCTAACGAAACTTGTATAAATTGTTTCTTATTTTCCTGCTTTTTATACAACTGGTAATACTTGTCGAAAATCACCGCCAAGGACAACGACCTTGCCTCCAAAATATTCATCATGAGATTCATTTATCTCTTGTAACATTTGATCTAAGGCTTCGATTGATCACCGATGAGACGTAGGAGCTTCACCCTAAATTATTAACCTTGCATTTTGAATTAATTTTGCTAAACTTGATTGTTTACTAACAACACATGAATTTCCTTTTCCATTGTTAAGAGGAATTTTGAATGCGCAGTACGACCACCTGGTAATACTGACAAAGCTACTCCAGATGATGCTGTAGCAAGTGCAATCATTCCTTTTGATCGTATTATAGCAAGCATAGCTCTGTATAGATATGTTTTTCCGGTTCCTCCAGGGCCATCAATAATAAAGAAAGTTCCAGATTGTCGTTCAAAGACTCGCTCTAATATCATATCATAAGCATGTTTTTGTTGATAAGTTAATGAAGCTGGTAACAGAAGATCTTCTTCTTCAAACACAACTATTTTTAATTCCTCATTTATTTCTCTCGTTTCTTTTTCATCCTCATTCAGTAAAATTAAGTAATCAACTAACCTGTAATCATTGATGTCACCACCCATTGATTCAAGAACCAAACGAAGATGTTCCAATACCTTCTTTTCTGCATCATATGAGCACAAACCTAAATTAGCAAAATCTTCAGATATTTATACTTTAAACATTTCCCATAAACTCCTAGGATTGGTAGGCCTACAATAAATCAAGATAGTTGCAAATAATCGACGAAGAGTACAAGGCATTTGATATATGCAAGCTTCTTCTAAACATTCTTCTAAAATATTATCTGAATCTAATAAGCCGTGCAAAAGAGCTGACTCGCAAAAAGATGCAACTTTAATGCTACTGAATGTCTTAAAATCATCAAAGTGGCACCTCTAACATGATTTAATAAGACTCGTAAATAATATCTCACCTTTTGTGTGATGCGTCGTTACAATTCTACCAATTACCTTACCTCTCTTCCTTGGTGTCTATATCTTGTTTTGTTTGTTCCAGAAAAAATATTGAGAGATCTCTTTATATAGTAATAATTTTACAGCCTCATTACATTGATTCAATCTGAAATGATCAGTCAACATAGTTCTACAGAACTCATTTAAGTTAACCACATCGCAGAGTTTATCTTTTTTCTTTAAGGTGATTAACTGTTTGTCCTCGAGATGTAATTGCAGAGAATAAACAGCTGGATCAATTTCATTTAAAGGAAAACCATAAATTCTCCACATACCTTCTGGAGGAGAAATCCATCTTGCAGATTGGAAATTCTCAATTTCCTCGATTATGTTTGAATCATTTGTAGATGCCAAATTGAAAGCAACTCGATCATGACCTTTGTAGATATATTTGTACAAGTATTTTACTGCTTTAATTGTAGAAAATATTTCCACATTAATGTGACAGATCAAATTTCGCAAACAGATATGGACTACATAGAACAACCCAACGATTGTCTAAGTAAACTCCTCTTGACTTATTGCCATCATATCGCCTTTTGTATATTAGAAAAGAGTTTTTCCCATAAATTGTTGTGGAGCAGAATGACTTGGGATAATGGTTTCTACACGTACCCTTTTTTGTCATGCACACATTGGCTGGATTCAGATTACCACAAGGGCCGTGCATCATATGTTTAAGAACCATTTTATACAAATGACAATTTTGTTTTTCATCAGGAATTTCAGCTGACACAATTTTATCAAAACTTTCAGGTGCATATAACTTTCCATTTGGTGCTAAAATTATCAAGAAATGAGCATGTTGAAGGCCTCTCTTTTGGAATTTAATCACATAAACAAATGCAGCTACTGGACCAAATACTTGCTTCTCAAATAACTCAATTTTTAGTTCTTCCAATTTTGACTTAAAAACACGAACCACCGTCAATACTGTCAATAATTCCTTGTTTCAATTCAGTTCGAATATCATTTTGGTTGTTCCGGAAGTAGTCTAATCTTGATGTTTCTAATTTGACATACATATCCAAAATATTTTGTTGCAGAAGTCGACCTGAATTCAACAATAATGATGTTTCTGTTGATCTAACCTGCAATTTATAACAATAGTATTCTCGACAAGAGACTTCATCTCTTTGTTGTTTCTTGGTAGACACTGAAAAGCAAAATAAATAAATAATTAAATAAAATGTTATAGATGAATACTTACGTAAGAATGTGCAACTAAATTAATATATAAAATATTTTTCTATATAGTACCATGTGCTTCTCTCTGTAAAAGATCTGCAGAAGATGTTATTTGATCTGAGATAATTTGGCCTTCTGATAAGCAATGTCTTTGCATTGATTTTTTATTCAGTCAGCGAATGCCTCGATGCTATCCATTTTCTCCACGGGGAAACAACAAAGGATGTTGAAGGGGATCATAACAATTAAAATAATATTCAACTTTATGTGAAAAACCTGTAATGACCATGAACAACAATGTGACGACCCTCACGCCTTTCTGAAGAATCATTCTCCAGCCATATGGCTGCTACTTGAGAGACGGACGGAACACTGCAAACTCGCTGATCTAATCCTGCATCTGAGTGTACAAGGATTTGATAGTGCTGAAGATCAGGTATATCTTTCAAGTTTTGGAAGAAACAACTGTATGGATTCACCTTCAATATATCCATAACTTTTTGTAGAATAAGTGGATTCATCTTCTTCGAATTATACATTCGATAGTCTAACTCATGCTCAGTAACATAAAAATACAGTTGTAGATATGAAGGCTGTTCATTCGATGGTAACAACTCATTTATGAAATGATATATCTGACCCTGAATTCGAAATGTATATATACCTTTATTTCTCATGCATAAATTCTTATCATATTTAAGACCAAATGATGTAAAATCAAATGTATTATTATAAGTACGAATGTACTTTTGGAATTCCTTAGCTTCATCTGAAGTTGAGGTGAATAATTCATAAGGTTCAGGAGGTACACTATTGGGCAATAATGATATTTCTCCTTCAGAGCAACAGAAGCCTTTCGTTTCATGGAAAAACCTCATTGCATGACGATATTTGCAAGGAGATACTAATGGCAATACATCTGCTTGGAAAACAACATCTTCCAAAGTTGATACTATTTTCCTTTTTTGTGAACCACGATGATGTGACATGGATTTGACGGAAGCAATCTCTAGTTGAGTGGAAGTTGAACCTAAAAGATATTAATCATTATTATTTTTGTTGGCTGAGTAAACTATACATTTCTCAAAGAAAAAAACAAAAACATATATAAATTTAAAGATTTTCTTACCTTCTCCAAATGTAGTGAAAGCACTGGCACAACTTTGCTCTTGTCGATTATCTCGGGTTTCTAATAGCTTTTTTTGTGCGTAAGCTTCTCTTCGTTTCTTATTGAATTGTTTTATCCCTTCATCTGACAAATTAGAATACCAGCTTCTTTTCTTTGAAATATCAATGCTTTCCATTTTATTTACTACAAATTAATACAGTTCTGTTATTATAGTAGATGAACTCATTCTGAATTTAAAGAAAAAATGGAAAATGTATATGGAAGAAATCATATATTTAGTAAAAAGAAAGTGAGAACAAAACTTATGATGCAAGAATTTAGAAATCATTCACAAACCAATAAATCAACATACAGTAAAATAGAAAATTAGATAAATGAAAATATATTCATTGTCAAATAGTACCAGGATTGAGGCACCTCGGTTTAAGATGCTTATCAGGAGCGAATGATATGCGTAAAAATCATAGGGAAAAAAATGTAGGTAGGTAATTATATATTCATTAATATTAAATTACAGAACCAAAGATACATTTAAGCAACTACATATTTTATTTTATCAGCGACAAAATTCTCATTACGCAACAAAACACTTATGAAAATCCAATACTTTGTCAGCGACATATAAGGAATACTTGGAAAAGAGATTGAAAGAGAGAGAAATATTGATGAAAGCGAAGCAATTTATTGTTGAGGCCAGCAATTAAGGTTTCTGGCTATTTGATGTGCAAATTATATGATCATAAAAGATGAAAGATATATAATCCTATTTCTCATAGGATTTAAGCAGATAAGTTTTATGGGCTAAGTTACATCAGACGACTGGAAGGAGTTGAAAGTTTTTGTTTGAGCTTTTAGTAGGTCTGAGAGAATTTAGCTTATATTTGTAGTGAATAGTTGAGAATTCTTAGGTTTATTTATCCAATGCTGGAATCTGATATGACATATATATATATATATATTGATAGGAACAAAAACTTCATTAATGCAAAAATTACACATTACAAATGAAGTTTCAAGATGGGTGAGAGATCCATCTTCAACTGAAAACAACAATAAAGCAAAAAAAAAAAAAAAAAAAAAAAAAAAAAAAAAAACAGTGAGACATTACAAGCAGGCTGTACAAATTGTCTCAGCACATCATCCCAACTTAACCAAAATTAAGGATAACGGAAAATGCTTGATATGAGATATAATAGTTTCCAATATTAGAGTGATCCTATTTTCGGTGACCACTGATGATCATAACACTACTTTTTTAATTAATTACAGTTCATAAATCAATTTTCAAAACTTACGGAGTATAAATGTTTTGTCAATCTCCACAAAATAAGCAGAAATATAAAAAAAATTTCTCAACCTCGGTGGCTATCTAGTTGATGCCTAAGTGATCATCAAAAAAGGATCCTCTGACTCCAGTTTGTGATCTTCCTGGGGCGAGTTCTGTTATAGTAGTTGTTACTAAGTTAATGAAGTTTAAACAGGTGATTTTTTTGGGTAGTTTCTCCTATTAACGACTGTTACGAGAAGCAACCAAAATCAGACTTATACACATTCTAAATGCATACGAACACTATTATCAACTTGGAGCAACGGAGACGAGCAACATGGATCATATATAACCAAGGTAACTGCCTTGGAAAACCAAAGCCCAATTCAAAATATCAAGATTAATCCAAACGTACAGAGGTAGACAACCAGCTTGGTAACATATCAGTCCAAAAATTGGTAGTCTTAGACTTGAAACCAAAACGAGCAAGAGAATGGGCTACTCTATTACCAGCCCTAGGCGAGAACAAACAAGCACAAAGAAGCTCAAAGAGCAGATTACAGATATCAGATACGATAGGGCCATGAAGACCTAAATGACTCCTCGAATTAATATCCGCAACTGCTTTACTCGCATCAGATTCTGCTAGTGTAATCTTGTTTTTTTCATTATTTTGCCTCATCAAAACGATAAAAAGCTACCAAATAACCAATGAATTTTCACTGAAACATTTTAGCAAACACTTGAATAGCAAATTTTAATTGAACACAGAAAAAAAAAAAAAAAAAAAAGATTCAATGTCACCAAATAACCAATGAACATTCAATGAAACATTTTAGCAAACACCTTAACAGCGAACTTCAATTGAAACAAAAACACATACATAACGCTACAATCTAATCCAAATCCAAATCAATCAGAAATATTCTACTCTCCATATCAACAACCAAAGATTTTGTTGATAAAGAGACAACTGAAGAGTCATACTAAGAACAGGGAGAAAAAAAAAAAAAAAAAAGGAAAACCAACGTTAAAAAGGAGAGAGAGACAACAAGAAGAAAAACAAACACGCCCTCGTATTCTCCTTCTTCGTCACCTTTTTTATCGTTGCTTATCTCTAAACCTTTTTTAGCACTAAAACAACGTTAAAGAAGTAACAAAGGGACAAACATCATTCCTGGAAACTTATTGCAGCTATTTTGTCGAGGGTCTATAGTGCTTGAGATTGGTTTATTACTTTGGGTGCCGCCAATGGTAATATCACTCGGAGTTTTTTTATTTTTTTTTATTTTTATTTTTAGTGGGAATGACTGGTAAGTGATAATGTTGTGCTGGTGTTTAACACGTTTATCTTCTTCATCTCCCTTTGCTGGTATTGTGAGACGCTCATCTTCATCCTCTGAAATGGTTCACTATTCCAAATTTAACCTTTCAATTCAATAGACCACAGATGTAAAAGAAAAGGGCATTAAAGGAAACAAAAGATTGAAGAAAAGAAGTTTAATTTTTTTGCTACAATTAAAAACTCTCACAAAAAATTATGTTAACGGTTGAATTTCGCCAATAGAACTATACCGGGTTATCTCTTGGTACACTGTTAGGTTACCGGCCTAAAATCGTTATAAATTTTGGCTAATACTGTTAAAGTGCTTTTTGTAGTGTGGTAATTTAAGAAGTGTGGAAGTGGTGCTTGAATAAATGCAAGAGGCACACAAGTTTTATAGTGGTTCGCTCTGTTAATGAAGAGTTACATCCACTATGTATTGCATATATCTTTTGCTACTTAGATTACATTCAAAAGGAAGGGTCCTCTCGATCATTTGGGGCTTTGCCCCTTTTATAGCCTAAAGATTACTTCTTGAGCGGTTCTTCTTATGAGCCCAGACTATAACCTGTCAATACTTTTTATACTGTTTACTCATCTAATTTGTCCCCTATTACGGCTCTACAGATCCTGTAATCCTCAACCGTCCGTTTCAGGTGGTTTTAGGGGCTCATAATTAATCCCTGCGCTACTGACATCTTTTGAACCCAGACGCAACCTGCCTGTGTCAGGGATCTTTCTTGAGGCGCTCCGTAACCCGTATTCTGCCCTTGACGTACTATTAAACAAGGCATAGCCTCGTTCGGCTGACTCTATTTGTGGTGCTTCTAATGCGAGTTACACAGGCCTCAACGGTCTCGAACGGTCGGCGGTCTAAGGATTTCATCCATACGCCCAGCCTTCCCAATATTCAGAAGGAAAACAAGATCCAGACGTCGACTGCTATCTGACGTGGCAAACATAAGCCATGTGAAGCGCTATTACCGTTCAACGTGTCAGTGTACATTTTTCCACATAATAAATTACATTTAACTTTTTTATTTAAAATTATATTTTAATTTAAATTGAAAACTCAAATTGGCGTAATATATGTAAGGATAAAGATAAGGATATGCCTCGTCACCTCCTAGAATTTTTCAAAGCGGTTTATGCTTCGGTGTGAATTCTACTAATCAGTATTTATATTCATTCAATCAGTAAGAAAAGCTGATTCAATCAGTGTTTGTGAAATACTTTTGAAGATTTTTGAGATATGATGCTAAGGAACACATTAACAATTGTACAATACAGAATTTGAAATGGTATAGTTGAAATGTCATCAACGTCAAGTGTTGAGCTAATAAATGATCACTAAGAGTGACACTGCCAAACGGTAAAAGATAAGGCCTCAAAATCTAGTGGACATGCTCCTTGCTATAAATCGCCTATATTTCGTCCTTTGGTTTCTTACAATAATAGATTTTTTCTTTCTGTTTATCAAAAATTGTTAAGCAGCATAGAAGATCAACTCCAAAAGAGTATCATTCTCAACATTTGGAATCTTGTTGGCAAGTCGTTCTTCAAGACTCCAGGTGTTCAGTTTTTTCGACATGTTTATAATGTCCATGAAAGTACCCTTAAAAATAGTATGGTTCTAAGCCAATGTATAACTTGAAACAAAAATGGAATTGCATGGCACATTCAGGCAGAAATCATACTACCTACGGAGTATAAAAAATGGTTGAGCATTAAATAAATTCAACAGTTCTGGTAACAGAAGGAAGCCTGAGAACGCCCAAGCTTTACATTATTGAAGACAAGCACAGCAAGTTTAGCAAGCATCAAGATCACGGCACGGGGGCGGTTTCGGATCAGTTAGCAAAGTAGTATTTCCTCCTTCTGGTCCACTCATAATGCGTTTTGGGTTTTGAGTGCCATGCTGAAAAAAAAAAGTGTGAACTCCATCGGCAACAACTTAACAAGTGAACAAGAGAACTAAATTACTACGAATAAAATAGGAAGGAAAACGAAAGAAAACACTACATCCCCAGCCAGTTTCCTTACCGGTGGCTTCTCACCCCTTCTCAACATCTCAACTATCTCCACGACGCGCTTCGGAGTAACATCTTCCTGCAATCAACATAAAAGACTGGTATAAATCTAACAAGGAACTGTACAAGTATCAATACAGCAGAAAGACCATAATCATTTGGAACATATCAAAAGGGCTTTCAAGGACCCACATAGTAGTTATAAGTATATCTTTCGGATCCATTGGAGTAGTCTGCCACCGTGATCATGGGAGCATTTACACAGCATCCCTGCAGAAACACAAAGATGAATTAAAGTCGAATTATGCCATGCTTATTCAAACCAAACAAATAGAACTATAATTTAAAAAATAAAAAAGTGGAAAGGAAAAAACAAGTTTCAGAGAATCTATGAAACAGGAAGAGAACCAGAAACGTAAACTGACAGAACTGGAAATTGACTCCCTAACTGTCAGATGTTCGTTTGCTATAAACTTAAAACTTGGAACCTAAGGTTTACTAACTCTCAAGTACGAAATTTATCATGGATTTTCCATAAAACAATGTAACTGAATTAATGTCATGAGTACACTCCTTTTTCTATCCTATCATCCTCCTCATTCTAGCAATGGCCGTGCAAATTGGCACTAAATACTAAAGCAAAACCTTTAGGTTAAGATCAGGATCAGATCATGAAAAGAGTTACCATGCATTCCATTTCTCCAACAGAAAAAAATCCATCCTTTGTTACTTCTGCAAGTGAGCAAGGGGTAAGTTGTTAAAAATTTTATTTGAACCTACAAACTCCAAGATTTCTTTTCATTCATTTCAACAAAAGATATCATAACAACAACGTTGTAGTCCACACACCATTCCTCTTCACTCCTAAATGTTTCAGTAACGCATCTTCAATTTCTCGTGAGCCACGGATCATGCAGGGTGTTGTGCCACAAACCAAAAGGTGGTACTTCCCCACCTGAAAAATAAATAAAAGAAGTTATCCGTGTAATCCAGAAAGGTACATGCACAGTTATTAAAATGAGAAAATAGAAATAGCTAAGCACCTTCGATCGATTAAACATTGAATAAAAGGTTGCAACTTCATACACACGGATGGGAGCAACTTCGATAATCTTAGCTACCTGGACCATTCATAAAACAATCATTAACAAATATATTTAGTAAGACTTCTTATGCTTGTGAATTCAACATTCTCTAGTCTTAAGGCTCGACCACTTGAAGAAAGATTGGCACTCCAATATGACAGCCGTGTGATTTTCCAATTACTAAGTTGTGGAAATATGAATAAAAAACTTTCAACTGTCAATTCAAACATACTGCATTCATCGCTGAAACAGGCAACCATCCTCCATGCTGCTGCTGTGCAAGATCTAGCAAGGGAATAACGGCAGATTGCTTGTAGTTGGATGGATAGTGAGATAATATCTCCTTAACCTAAGCATGCATCGGATAACATTGTTAATCTCCACATTGCAAAAACAGATGTTTACACGCCTATGGGCATATATACATGAACATGCACATTTAGTTCCCTCTATTTCCTTGGAACAACCACACAAAAGGGGAAAAATAGATTTTTTCCTCTCTCTTATTGTACTCTATTTTCCTCTTCCCGAAATTTCTTAGAACCCAAACATAGCCTACATTTCAATATTCACGCTATCGAATCCCGCAACTTGAGAAGATGGTGATATTAAACTTGTCCAGCTCCATTCAACATCCATTTGTCTATAATAAATCCTAAAAGTTCTCATACTCCAAATAGAAAACAGAGCGAAAAGCCTCAAACACAAACAGCAAAGGCACTTTTTTTACGTTGGAATAAATGGTTTCTGGTGAAAAACAACAACGTCATATACAGCTAACATCGTATATTATACCTGGGGCTGGGACTCCATAGAAAGAATCTATCTAGATCAAATTCAACTCAACTTCATATCTCGCTCCAAGCATCAGTTAAAAAAGGCAAATTTTCTCGATTTCTCTACAATTACTTGTTTAGTTGTTTATAACCCATCGCAAAAACCCATTCGACATCGACAGCCCCAAAGAAGTTTATGCAACAATTAAAATAACCAAAAAAGAAAAAAGTTTCAAACTTTAGGCAATTAAATTCAACTCCATGCTCCAAACTTTCGCACACAAAAATTGGGGAAATGAAAGAAATCAGTGGATCATTCTCACCAACCTTCTCTTTGTTGGCATCGCTGAACTCCCAGGGAAGGTCCGGGTTGTTATCTGGAGAATCAAGATGCTGTTCGATTTCCAAAAAGCTCCATTTCAATCAATAAATAAGCAAACACAAACACAAACACACATAAGTACGGAACTGAAGAATTGATGACTGAAATTTAATGGAGAACTCACGTAATTTAGGGCAGTGGAGAAGGATCGCGAAGGCTGCCAAAAAGAAGAGAGGAACGATCGAGAGGCGATGAGAGAGCGATTGGGAGAGTGGATAATGTGGCGAGAAAATGCGAGAAAGTGAGGAGGAAAAGGAAAAACCTGGCGGAAAGCTTGACGGATCTCGCGGAAGCGATTGGCGGCGAGCCGAGCCAACATTTTTGGAGAAGCAGTACGCTGAGTAAGACCAGAGAGAGAGAGAGAGAGAGAACAGAGAAGAGGGATCGGAGAGTTCCAGTTCGGGGCGTTTTGACGCACTTGGGGCCTACGAGAGCTGAGGACACGTGGAGGTTTCTTCATCGTACGATCTAGAGTTGTGCTGATGGGTGATCCTCTGCTTCCCTGTGTATTACAACCCATCATGTTGTACTTTCCGTGGCGTTCAGAAGGCCTACTATTACTATATGGGTGCAATTTGCAAATGAAAGATCAAACTATCATTTTATATTATTTTATTTTATTTTAGGATTAATTTCAAAAATTTCGTCTGATTCTTATAACACTTTGTCCCTCAAATTTTAAAAAGTAATATCAGTTTTCCTCAAATTTTGTTCCGTTAACAAGTTTTATCATTTTGTTACAATGAGTGACGAAAATCGCAACGTGTCAAGTACATGACCCATATGAAGGTATTATCGTAAATTAACCTACAACAACCTTATGTTATTAAAAAAGTAATTAAAAAAATTCAAATGCGTTAAAAAAACCCCATTTTGTCGATTTTTATGGTTGCGTTAGGGTTAGAACTTTTCCTCCAAAGAGAAAAATCTAGGAAAAATTAATCTTCATTGTAAATTTTCACAGTGAATCACTCCCAATGGCTGCAACATGGGGAAATATTGGTGATTTTAATCCTATTGACAATAAGTTTGCTCATTCTTTCCTTTATTTGTTGCATTTTTCTGAATACTTGCTAAATCTATTTGTTAATTGCTAAACTTATTTTACCATGTCATCTTGTCAGGTTTTGTTGTTTTACCATGCAATCTTGTTGGGTTTTCTTGTAAATTTTCCTTTGAGTTAACTGTGGGCATATTCTCTTCGGTTGAAGAAAGATTCTCGTGATATGTAGAGTATTGGGACCATAGCATTTGACCTTTCTATATGTGTGGGGCAGAGATAAGCATTTGTTCAAAAGTTTTGATGTTTTTTATGATATTGTCGTCTAGAAAAAAATTCTTCTGTGATGGAAAAAAATTCAATTAAAAGCTGAAGATTTTTGTTTGATCCTCTTTCTCTCTCTGTATGTTGATGTGAGCGGTAGAGAGAAGCATTTGTTCAAGCTTTATTCTTCTAGTTATGCTTCCATAAGTTAGAAGAGGTATGTTAACTTACTCTGAATTTGCATAGGAGGGAGTCCAATAAATAGTGGAGATGATTCTGAGCATTCTGGTTCTAAGTATGATGATTATGAGCATTCAGATTCTAAGTATGATGATTATGGGTTTGATGATTTCGTATTTGCACAGTAGTCTGAAGATGAAATTTTTTATACTATTAAGCCACTTTCCGAACCTACAGCCTCTCTCCTCTTCATTCTGCATTCAATTATAAAATGAAGGATTAATTTCAAAAATTCACCCAAACTAAAACAGACTCAATCCACAGCCCCAATCAAACCCAAATTAATCAGATTCAACCCAAATATACAAAAATTTTGTTGTCCAATGTTAAACAATTTACCTTACACCGAATGCAACCATAAATTTGTCTTCTTGGATTCTTCTTTGTGTGTGATGTCTTCACTACCGGATCCAACCCACATCGACATCGAATAGGATCTCAAATTTTTTCGTTTACCCAGCCGTTGCCACAACTGTTTGTACTGTAAGAACTTGCCATAGATGAACGAGATGAGAAAAAAAAAAAGGAAGCAAAATGAGAATGAAGATGGTGAATTTTTCAATCAAAATGGAGAATTATCTTATTAAGAGGGTATAAGCATAGTTGCGCTTTCAATTTTTACTAAATAAGTGACACATTGTAACAGAAGAAAAAAACTTGCTAACGGAACAAAATTCGGGAGGAATGGATGTTCCTTTTTAAAATTCAATGGGCAAAATGTTACAAGAGTCATAATTCAAGAGTAATTTTTGAAATTAATCATTTATTTTATAAAAAATAAATGATCAAACTATGTCCAAAACATCATCTATGGTCGAATTCTATGAATCAAATTATTTTTTAAATAATCTAATTATGACTGGGTGTTTTTTTTTTTTTTTTTATCGTGTAGTTTCTATCAATTGTATAACATATATAAAAAGTTTAATGCATCAACTATTTATTCTCTCACAATTCACTATTCAAACTTTTGGTTCATTTAATAATTTTTTTTTGCGCTTTTTCTCTCTCTCAATTAATAATATTTATTTATCATGAAAATAATTTTTTATTCTATTTATTCATTAAAATAATATTGTTCAAAATATTTAAATATCTTTCTTATAATGTGGTCTTTATAAGAAAAATATTTAAATATCTTTCTTACAATATGGTCTTTATAAATATTTTTTAATTGCCTACCAAATTTTTAAATTGTCTATTAAATACTTCTTTAATTGCCTACTTTTTTTTTTAACAAAAATCATTCTCATTATTTTTATGTTTTCGTTATAGTTTTTAAACATTTACTAACCAAATGCGACTATAATATCTTAAAAATACACAATATTATCTAATCTCCACAAAGAAATCACCCGTGGTAACACATGAATATAATGAATATACTATATTAAAAGTGGGAATTTCTCATTGGCACTATTCAAAAACTTAGTCCAAGTATTTTTGTCTTTTAGTGCTTTGTGGTTTTTTTTTTCCTTCTTTTTAACTTTTTCACCTTTTTTCTCAAAATTTTGTAGGGGCTCATCATATATTCGGTCGTTTAGGCTTTTTCCCCTTTAAAATCTTCTCAAAGATGATCAACATATTTGGTTTACTGTTTCATTTTTTAAGAAAAAAATTATACCTTATATTTTAAATGTATTTTATTAAAAATATACTGTAATTTAACTTTGAACAATACTAAATACAGGCTTCATTTCTGTTACAGATGTTAATTTAATTTATTAACACGTGTTATCTCTATTTTTTCTAACAAACTTACTTAATAACAAATCACTCCTTTTAACTTATTTACAAGAGTCTTATTCTAGCTTTTTTTCCCCCAAACCTAACATTCAACACATTCCAGCTGCCAAAGAAAAAAAAAGGCGAAACTAATTCTTAAGAATAGTATTATATATACACTTGATTATATATATGTGCATGTCAGTACATATATAATAGCAAAATGAATATACATCAGGCGAAAAAATATTCACTATGCTTTCAATTCGTTAGGTAAAATCCAACGACCAAAAAAAAAAAACAAAGTTTTCTCATCCAGTAACGAAGCATAAAAAAAAACAGAAATGAAGAGAAGAGAAAAGAAAACCCATCGACAACGAAGAAATTTTTTTCTAAAAAATGAGCAAAATGTATATCTTAGGAGTCATTTTTGTTTCTTGCCAGCAGAATTGCCACACCAAAATCTTTCAGATTTCACTCTTGTTAGGCAACCCTCTTATTATTATTTTTTTTCCAAACTTCTATGGAAATGTGTAAAGTCTTTAGTTTGAAAGAAAAAAAAAAGAATAACATTTTTATAAATAAGTGTAAAAGAAATGACTTGTTGTTAAGTGAGTTTATTTGAGAAAGTGGAAATGGCACATGTAAAAAAAACTAGACCAATATTTGTAGAAAAGTAACATTATTCTTTAACTTTTTCATGTAAAAATAATTTTGCTTGGATATAACCCTCTAAAATATTATTTTCTTAATATTTTTTGAATGACGCTACTTAAATGTTTTTTCTCTTTTTCTAAAACTTTTTTTCTCCTCAAATGTAGCCCTTTTTAAATCCACTTTCGTACCATTTCTTCTACTATTTTCTCTTTTAACTTTTTTTACCCTTAAAATCTTATATTTTTCCTTACAATTCTCTTATAACTTTTTTTACCCTAAAATATTATAGTTTTCCTTACCCCTGATATATCTTTTTTATAAGAACTTTTATTTTAAATTCAAATACAAATTTAGAAAATCCATGCGATATTAATTTTATTATGATAAAGTAGTTAACAAACATTAATTATATTTGTATACTTTTGTTTTCTTATTAATTCTGTTACATATTCTATTGAACTCTTTAGAAAATTATGAAACTAAAAAATAAAGCTAAACCTGAAAATTAAACATCTATGTATCGAGAAGAAAAAAAAAAATATCAAATCATGGTAAACTCATGTAAAACAAACTTAAACAATATATCAGAAAATAAATTTGAAAAAATTTAATACTCATTTTAAGAAAAATACGCTCCTAATAATGAGAAAACTTTCAAATTTCTCCAATAATAACTGACTGATGAGGGGGGTTAAACCCTCGTAGAGGCACTTAAAGACCTCTCGAGGAATTATTTGAGCCCCCTTGAGGATCAGGAGGCCATGAGACCCCATAAGGGGATGAAATTTGATCTTTTGATATCTAAAATATATATTTAGTCCGTCACGTGAGACTCACATTTAGAGTCTAGAAGCTCTTTCTGAATATGTGATATTAAAAAGGGTATTTTAAAAAATCTCTAAAAAAAATTAGGTGACGTTTGGTTCATGGGTTCAAAATCATGGTTCATGATTCTGATTTTTGAAATTTAAATTTTTAACGAGAAAAAAATACTGTAACAAAACTAAAAATTATGATTCTAAATCAGACAGAACCCTTAAAATAAACGTCATCTTAATTGACGAGATGACCCAGAGAAAAAGACACCATTTTATTGACAACCTTCTCTACAAATAGGTGTACTTGGTACTTACTTTCACTTATTTCTATCGAACAATCAACGTGCTTTTATTTAGTTTTTTATTTTTTTTTATTTTACTGCATAATCCTTTCCCTTACCTATAAAATTTCCCACATACTAATGAAGTGAAGACAACAGTATTTTAAGGTTTAAATTGTAGTCCAATTAGTATAGTTCAGCACTTTTTAAGGTCTAAAATCCAATCTAACTAAAGCTAATTACAAATCAAATCGAACTGCTTTGAATGTTGAACTTCTCAATGAGGGGTTGGGATTCAAGTTAATACTAGGTGCAAAGCATGCAGTTACCGTACAACATAACCATGTTTATTGTTTATCACAAACAGTGATGGATTCAGAAATTGAATTCAGTGGGTGCACTTCAGACATTTTTTATTTAAAAAAACTTCGCAACATTCTATGAATAACATTAAATGCATGTCTTATAGGGCAGTAATTAATCATTGTAAAAAAAAAGGAACATGAGAGAAAAAAAAAAAAAAAACAAATATATATTAAGAGACTTAAAAAAATAGTTCAAAAGTGGGAAAAAAAAAAAAAAAGTCTAAAATGGGAAAAAAAAAAAAAAATGAAAAAATAAAAAAGAATACCAAATGTTAGGAAAGAATGAGAAAACAAAGTTTAAGGAAAAAAAAAAGAAGAAATAGTGGCAGCAAGCAAACTGTAATAGGATAAAATTTTAGGGTGCGTTTGGAATTAGTTTTAAAATGATTTTGTTTTTTTGTATGAAAATAGAAATGAAAACGTTTTCATTTTCATTTTGAAATTATTTCTGAAATGCGTTTGGTAGTTTTATTCAGAGATTGATTTCAGTTTTAAAAAAAAAACTGAAACTGCGTTTGGTAGTTTAATTTTTAAAAACATGTAATAATATTTAAATTAATAATATATTGAATAAATAATATTATTAAATATATTAAATAAATATTATTATTTAATATATTAAATGAACGTGAATTTTACGGTGGGGGGCGGTTGGAGAAGATGGTGGCGGGCCAGTCGGAGAGGAGCGTAGACGGTGGGCTTTCGCCAGATGTCCAGGCCTGCGTCTTCTTCAGCTGGAGAAGAGAGAGAAGAAAAAAAAAATTGAAATCCGTTTTCAAAAAACGAAAACGTGAAAATGAAAACGTCTTTTTTTCGTTTTCAGTTTTTCAGAAAAGACAAAAACCTTTTTGTTTTTATTTTTTAAACATTTTTACACCAAACGCATTTTATGTTTCCGTTTTCATTTTTTAGTCTTAAAAAATGTGAAAAATGAAAATGAAAACGGAAACAAACAGAGCCATAGTGTTGTATGAAACTGAAGTGACATTTAAAAGATGAAAAAAAAAAGAAAAGAGAAGAATAAGTCCAATGCATTAATTTTGAAGCTTAAAACTAAAAGTAACCAAAAAATAAACTGATCGCTAAAATTACTAAAGGCACACTTAAAAATCAATATATACATAATTCTTTTTAATTTTCTCAGGAGGCACGTGCGTGTACTGGCCCCCATTAATACGTCTATAGAATTCACAAATATGAATATGGTAGAACACTAAAAGCTATTAGGAAACAAATTAATGAATTCCTTGGTTAAAAAAATACAGATTAATAAATTTAAATGTAATTGTAGATTGATTGTCTGCATAGATAATTTTCACGCAATAACAACATTCAAATATTTTAATTGTCCATTCTTAAAAGAACATGTCACTTCTCTTACTTCTAACATAACATGTGCAAAAATATGAGATTGATGAGACTATTTTTTCTTTTCTTTTTTTTTTTTTCAATTTGTTGAGAAGGTGACACGTTTTTATTGGAAAAAAATTGGGCGTTTGAGGGGAAAGAGGAGAGGAGACGAATGAAGATTGTAAAGGCTAATAAGAACACATCAATTCATCACGTGTCTAGAAAATTTCCAAAAAAAAAAAAAAATCATGTATACACCTGGAAAATAGAAAGCCTCAAAAGGAATGGCCAAAAAGTAAGGCAACTTCTGCTGTGGAATTAAAAAAAAGAAAAAAAATAATCCGCGGGTGAAACTTTTATTTTTTATTGTTAGATTAATTTTTAATATTAAAATAATTTTATATGGCGTACTGTAAATTTTAGTATCACATAAATTTATTCATTAAAAAATTAATCTAATAATTAAAAAATATAACTTCATCAGTTGAACAAAAATGAGAATTGAACTTTAAAATTTGTCAAAAAGTAAAAAGCATAAAAAAGTACACACTTCTTATCTTCATCTCTAATAAATCCAAATGACTCTAAAAGAATAGTGCCAAAACTTACCTACTATGACCATGAACACTGTAGTGAATTATGAGATTAGAATTATTTTTAATTTACGTATATTTTTTATGAGAGAAAATACTGTAACGAATAATAAATCATGATTCAAATTAAGTTATGAATTCCGTTACTAAACGTCACCGTATGACCATGAGCCAAACTTAAAGCTGACAAAAGAGTGCTTAATCACTTCCTTACATAAAAGCCCACTTTTATAACCACTTCGGTTAGATTTTGCTGACATTTTGTTCCACATAGTGTAGAGGACACATCAAGTTTTGAGTAATGACATTCTCTGCGCAAGTGCTTCGCAATTTCCTCTCTGTCTATCTCTCCTCCTTTTCTCTGCCTTGCGAAGGAAGAAAGCCCACTTCATCTCTGATGACTGCAACATAAATACAATAGCCCAAAGCTCTATAAGTAACGCTCTCTCTCTCTCGCAAGAAAAGCAAACACTAAGGATCTCCGAAAGCAATATATATATATATATATATTCACTTTCTTCATTTGAACATGCGTTTGGATTCTGAAACTCTCTTTTGCGCTTTTGTTATCATTTCTCTCTAACAAATTCCTCCAGTACATGTTTATTCATTTCCATTTTATTGTTAAGACTATTAATTTCCTTTCTAATTACCATTTGTAGACAGTCTAAAGAAAAGCTTCCCATAAACAGTTCTTTTTGATCTTCTAACTTTTATGTACTATAATTCTCCCCTCTAAAAAGTGTTGAATTTTGTGCCTTGTGGTTTTATTCGTTTGTGTTCTAAAAGCTCATATGATTCAAGCGCTGTTCCGAGAAGTTGTACTTGCGTACTTCTCTTCGAAGAATGGAGCTTAAGCTAGAAATTTTTTCAGCTACAAACTGGTTTTCAGAATTGAAGGGAATTCAAAAAACCGAGCGACAATACAGTTGCGGAAAGGGTAAAAAACCGATGACAAGGTCGGATGGTTCGAGCTCGAAAAAGGGTTTGCAAATGAGTTGTTCAAGAGTCGAGGATTGTGGTGATTCGTCAAAAGGGAAGGCAGAGATGTGGGGCAGTGAAGTTGAAGAGCTTAGTGAGAGATTGAAGATTCTTGAAGAAGAGACTCAGATTATAAAGGAAGCAGTTTTTTGGAGCTTGGAAGAAAGGAAAAGTATGATGAATGAGATATGCAAGCAGTTTCAGCTATTACAAGGATACCTTCAACCAAAAAATCATCTAGTAATAAAAGAAAGTTTTTATGTCAACCCTTTTGAGGTAATGCCCTCCTCTTCTTTTGTGTAAAGTTGATACTAAACAGAATTTTAAGCCGTTTTTCAGCACCATAAAATTTTCATATAATCTATTACTTAAAAATTGGCCTTTTCAAACCGTGTTCTTTTTGAAATTTCAATTGTTCCTTTTTAATATATTTGAATGTTGGTGATTTTTGAACTTGTTACACGAAAGGATGGGAGATTCAGAAAGAGTTTGCCAAATATCCAAATCCCAGATCCAAAACCATGTCTTCTCACCAAAGAGCTCAAGGCAAATGCTTTGGCCTTCCAAGAACATGCTAGAGTAAGCAATTGACTTACATATGACATAAATTCACTCTTTATTGTGCTATATCAGAATATTGAGTGAAACTCTCTTGGTTTGAACTCATATTTATACTCATTAGATACACTTTCTTCCACACAGTGTAGAGGACACATCAAGTTTCACTATGATTGACGGGACAGAGCCTCGATCGGAACTGGTAGTTTCATTGGAATTCGGATAATAACTTATTTGTAAAACGAAGTGTGTGGTACTCTTGCAATCTCTGCTTAAAGAGAATAATAAAGTCGAGAAGAATTTCATTATGTTATAGTGACAAAGTGACGTGTTAAAACGTTTTTACTGAGTGTTCCACAAACTAAACAAACTGGCTTGATATGGGAAACATCATTGTTACTTGAAAACAGAATTGCGACAAACAATTAAGCTAACCTTTTGGCTTTTAAAGTGTTGTTTAGTCTTTTTTCCTTCTTCCCTGGTTCAAATCAATTGATTATGATGTATGTATAACTATTTAATTCTGTCATAATGCAACTCTTAGCTTTGATATTAGGATACAAGAAAGTCAAAAATGATAAAGAATTGAAAATTACGCCATTAATATTTTACAGATAATAAGGAAAAAGGAATTATAAAGGTAAAAGAAGGCATGTACCCTTTATAGATAAGAATATAACTCTTAACTAAGACCCATTATAATTATCGATTTTTTGACAAATAATTTTTATTAAATTTGAACTTAAAAGCCTATAGATTTTAACTCTCTTTTTTTTTTTTTTTTTTTTTCCTATGATATTCATAGGGATACATGATAAGAGATGAAATACTATATTCAAATGCTAATGCTTTTTAATTTTTTTTAGAGATAAAAATACTCGTGCCTTTTAGGATGTCAGTTACATGTTTTCAGTTTTCCATAGGTAATCTCTTACTTTTGCTGGTTAGCTGCTAACTATAGCAACCACTAGAGCCAGAAACTAAGTTCTATATCCCATGGCATTATTCAGCAACAAAAACAGAAATAAAATATAACATTCATATGAAGAATTTTCGAAGTTGTATTACATAATGTAAACAGATGTGGTGAACTTTCATGTAGAAAGAACATACAAAATTTTCACTTGCTCATATAAATGGATGATAAAACAGTTGCTAGGAACAATTAATATTACATATGAAGAGTGTTTCAAAGTTGTGTAACATGATTAAGAGTCTATTACAGATGTGAACTTTTATTAGAAGAAGATGCAGCATTCATTTGCTTAGATCTCACAAACAGATGAGAAAACAAGAACAGCTAATATGTGTGTCTATATATATATATATATATATTGCATATACATAGATAATAGTAGATATTGGGGATCTGAACAATATGCAACAACTAGACCACAGTAGGCTGCTCTTCAGCATCTGAAGTTGGTGCTGGTGCAATCTTGGTGCTGCTATCAGCAGTGTAAAGCGAACTAATGCATATAAGAAAAGTGAGTGAGAGAAATGCAAAGGCAGAGATTATAAGACTAGAAACAGCAACTCCCACCCATAGTCTTTCGCGTTTCTTGAAATGCTGCAGAACATGAGCCATCTCTACTAAAAGGAAGCCGAGGCAGGAGCAGGCTATGACTGCGAACAAGACGGAACAAAATGCCAAAAGTTGTGTTTTAACCATGCCGTACATGGCCATCTCTTTGTCCCCACAAAAACAAAACAACTGCTGCACACAACCAGCGTACAGCGTACTATAGAAGTGTTAGAGAAGTGGAACGAGGATAAGAAATTGAAAATGAAATTATACCCCGCAATGCATAATATGCTTCCGTTGCTCACTGTTTTTTTTTAATATCATGATGTTACATCTTCATATTCCTGCCTATTTGGATAGGCCACTGGCACAAGCTGTGTTTATTAAATTACAAAAAAGGGTGACGTCAATATCACATATACAGACAATATATTATATTTCTCCCCTGTAACCCCCAGAACCAAAATAGTCTCTTCTAGAGCTAGCAATCGCGGAGTTTTTCTGCTGCGCTAATTTGGGGCAATCGATGATACGGTGACCAAGCCCACCACAATAGGCACAACCCTTGACCCCGCTAGCATTGGTAATTGCATCCACATCTTCCATTGGATCATTAAGATCGGCCAACACAGGTGGTATTCTCTGTTTTGCCTCTTGCAAGAGATGCTTCAAGTCAAGAAGTGTTGTCTCACTCTGATTCTTGTTTATAAACGTTGTGGCTATTCCAGTCTTGCCCCCTCTTCCTGTTCGTCCAATTCTGTGAACATAGTTCTCAATTTCTGCCGGCATGTCGTAGTTAATGACATGTTGGATATCAGGAAAATCCAGCCCTTTTGAGGCAACATCAGTGGCAACAAGAACATCTTTTTTGCCTGCCTTGAAGGATGCAATGGCGTACTCTCTATCTTCCTGATCCTTTCCTCCATGGATGGCCACTGCTTCGACCCCTTTTAAGAGAAGATATTCATGGATGTCATCCACGTCGGCTTTGTTTTCACAGAATATTAAAACAGGAGGTGGAGTTTTCTGCAGACATGCAAGAAGGTAGACAATTTTTGCTTCCTGCTTGACATACTCAACCTCCTGAATAACATCAAGGTTAGCAGCTCCTGCTCTCCCCACATTAACCGTGACAGGCTTTACCAAAGCACTTCTAGCGAAATTCTGAATTTTCGTGGGCATGGTGGCAGAAAACAAGAGAGTTTGCCGTTGAGCTTTGAAGTGGTCAAACACTTCTCTTATGTCATCTTCGAACCCCAAATCTACCAGTCTGTCGGCCTCATCTAGAGTTAGAAACCTGCAGGAGATGGAAGATCAGAATCCAAAACTACGGAACTGGAAAAAAAAAATTACAGTCAAACATTCATAAGCATGACCGACCATGTACTCCAATCAACTAAGTTACATGTCCACTTAGTTATCTATTCCTGACGACACACAAACACAAGTAAAAAGAAAATAACACATTTCACAGATAGAGATAAGAAATGATAGTTCACTTGGGTTACATTGTGTTTGTGTGTTTATAGATTTCAAGAAAAAAAAAAAAAAACCACAGAAAATAGTCTTCCAGGCTACTAATTTTTAGACAATAGAGCTTTTCATCATATTGGAAGAGAGAATTATTATATCCTGTTTTAGTGCTTAAAACTTTTAGTTGGTAAGAGTATATATCTGGCTGGAATAAGGAACTCATCAATGATAACTAATGACGGGAAAATAGTTCTCAACAGATATTCTGTTCTGATTTATGTTCCTGCCATTTTGAAGCGATTAACGCCAAAGTAATGTCTAAAGCCAATTATTCAAGGGAAAGAAAAAAGGATTTTAGGACAATGCAATACCATTTTCAATTATCTCAACAACTAGAACTAAATAAAAATGAGAATTAAAACAGGTTTGCAAGGAGACAGATAAAAAAGGGGTCAGAGAAAGCTGCAAAAATGAAATGCTTCTCAAGCTATGAAATCTTACCTACAATTATCAAGACTCATTTTTTTCTTTGCCAACATATCTTTCAACCTCCCAGGAGTAGCAACGACAATATGAACACCCTTCTTCACAATATCCAACTGCGTCCGCATATCTACTCCGCCAATGCAGAGCAATGGCCTCAGTTCTGGATATCCAGCCTCTTTTAGGGGAATTAGAAACTGTTCCACTACTTCAAAAGTCTGCCTGGCCAGCTCTCTTGAAGGGCAAATGATAAGTCCAAATGGCCCTTCTCCTGCAGCAATTGGCATCATAATCTCTTCTTGCAGTGCCACCATGATCAAGGGAAGCACAAAAACCAACGTCTTCCCCGACCCAGTAAAGGCAATCCCAATCATATCCCTCCCAGATAAAATCACTGGAAGACCTTGCACCTGAATGGGGGTCGGTTGAACAATCCCCTTGGCTTTCAACTTCTTCAAAACCGGTTCAGGAAATCTCATATCCTTGAAATTCTTAATTGGCGGGGGAATATCTTCACCGTCCACTATGATGTGCCACTGCTTTCGAATCAAATCGCACTGCTTTTTGGACATCCTTCTGATCGGCAACGGTGGTTTCCAACCCGTGGGCAGAGGATCTGTGTAAGTTATCCCCTTGGCCAACTCGCGAACCGACATTAGAGTTTTCCGATCCGATAAGTGTTCAATCATCTCTTTCTCCTGCTGCACAATCAGTTCAGTTGGACTAATCTCAGGAGCCTCTCGCTTCAACTGGGATGCCTTGACGAGAAGACTTGGTTTGGCTTCAGCTTGTTTGGATTTCTCCAACTCTTCTTCGAGGGCGGAAGACTTTCCCTTGCGCTGAAGAATCTTCTGAGCTTCCATTGCTCTCCTCTTCGCCACAGGTACATATTCAACATGATCATCTTCTTCTTCCATGTTTCTCAATTCACTGCCAAAACCTAATTGCTCTTGGTAAAAATGTACAGCCTTTAGTATAAAAAATACATACAAACTATTACTAATGCCGAATTGAACAGAAAACACAAGCCAAATTCAACACTAAACCCAGAAAAATTCAAACCTAATTTCAGACCCAATTTTGGAACCAATTTCGTGCCGAACACAAACCGAAATTAGATCCTAATCTGTACCCAACTGCTTGGTCGCGAAAAGGGTCGTGCTTAGGGTTTCTTTTACAATGGTCGGCTGTGAGGGGAAGACTTTTTTGGGATTTAATTTGAGTTTCTATAGGTGTGAGACGAAGCACAAGCGGAAAAAAAAACTCAAAAAAAAAAAAAAAGAAAAGAAAAACACACGCTTTTATGTCAGTGAATCAAGCACACTTTTACTCCTTGTTTCGTTTCATTGTCCCAACAGTAGGACTGTTCTTCTTAATATCAATAACTTTCTGCACCCCAGTACCAAAACAAATCAAATTCATCAAATTAACACATAAAATGTACACCTTTCTCCGGAAACCAAAAGCCTAACTTCAAGCTCGCTTCTGTCGACTGTTAAAGAGAAACAAAGGGACAACTTGAACTAGTGCCTTGGTTTGCAGAACGAATAAATTTCAGAGCTACGGGAAGCCAGGAAGGGGATGGGAACAAAACGAAGATTTCGGGGGAAAAAAAAAAACACAAGAAATCTTCAAAGAGAAACAAAATTTGAACAAAGAAAAGTAAATTGGGAAATTCAAAGCTGAGAAGGTACCTGGTCTGGGTGCAGAGCGAGGTGCGGCGTCAGGGATGGTTTCGAAGAAAATCCCCAAATTCGGAACTGAAATTTTGGGAAAAATTCAGAATTGGAACAGAGTATGAATCGGTTTTTTTTTTTTATAATATTATTTTACTCTTTTCTATTTAAGGGTATTTTGGACATTTTATCCTTTTCTATTTATTTCAGTACTTGCTTTTACGATGTCGTTTAGGTCATAAAGGCCAAATAAAATAAAATTTCCCCCTTTTCTTGAAGGAAAGATAAATAGAAAGTTTTAAATTAGAGATATCTAATCCGGTCTCACTCCACCACTACTCACAGAAAAAGTTCCGGTATTTGATGCCATAGTAGATGTTGTTTGGTTGCTGAGAAAGAGGAAGGAAAATAATCGGGAAAATCCTCCTCCATCTCATCGGGAGCTGCAGCTATGGAAGTCGAAGTGAAACTCCGTCTCCCGGACTCCGCCTCTCACCAGAAACTCTCGGACCTCCTGTCTCCTTTCCACGCCAAAACCCTATTCCAAGAGAACGTCTTCTTCGACGGCGCGAACGCCGAGCTGTCCTCGAAGCTCGCCGTCCTCCGCCTACGATTCTACGACGAAAACTCCCGCTGCGTTCTGTCCCTCAAGGCCAAGCCCGCCATCGCGGCCGGCGTCAGCCGTGTCGAAGAGCACGAGGAGCCCTTCGATCCCGCGCTCGGCCGGGCCTGCGTGGCGGAGCCTTGGCGGCTCCTCGCCGTGGACTCGTCGGAGATAATGAAGCGCGTAAGGGGGGAGTACGGCGTCGGAGAAGGCAGCGGATTGGTGTGTTTGGGCGGGTTCAGGAACGTCAGGGCGGTGTACGATTGGGAGGGTCTGAAATTGGAGCTCGACGAGACGAGGTTCGATTTTGGGACGAACTACGAGCTCGAATGCGAGAGCTTAAGCCCTGAGAGTGACAAGGAGTTGCTGGAGAGGTTCTTGGAGAAGAACGGGATTCGGTTTCGCTACTCCGACGTTTCGAAGTTCGAGATTTTCCTACGACGGAAGCTGCCAGAATGAAGCGATCAACGGCTTGATTGGTGCTTTCTCTAGTTTCATTAGCTTTGAGATTATTGGTATGTTATAATTTGAATTAGACAGTGAGTCTCAACAAAATGCACTGAAATCACGTGAATTTTGCATTCGGTGGCAAAAATGTTGGGGATTTCTTAATGATCTAAACATTCTCTAAAGGATCAAAAATAGCAATTAGATCGAATGTGGAATTAAAAGAAACGGATCAAAAGAGCACCTCCGGCCATTGATGTTCTCGGTGGGAAAAAAAGAAAAACTCAGTTTTAGTTCTTCTAAACCTCACTCAATCTCTCGTTGATGGTGAGTATTTTGACTGAAAGGAGATTGCAGGCTTAGGGGGATCAAAACCGTGTGTGCACTACCCCTTTTATACACTCTGCCCATCACAGAGTGCTTTGTGGACGTGCACCGTCAGTGGGTAACGTGGGTAGCGACTGAACGTGGGCAACCGGTGTAAACATGTTCCTAGAGTGGTGGAATAGGATGGACCACAATCTGGGGATCAAGGCTTCGGTTGGTTACTGAAGTTTAAGAAAAAAAATTCAACATTCTTTCACTTGGTCTATATATTCCATCATTTACCTAAGAAACAAAATACATAAATCATGATGATAAGTTCTTTAAAAATGAGTATTATCTTTTATGTATTATAATGCATAACGTTTCTCAATAAGAGCCTGTATAACTTAATGAGTAAAATCTATGTTTATTCTAAATCCAAACATTAATGATATTTCTCAACAAATAAATGAATATATACACAAGGAAAATAAATATGAGAAAACATCACAAATAGAGTTTCATTAAAAATAACATTCGTTCTTACAACGAAAATTACACAAAAGAACTAAGTCCCATTCTATCTACACGATCTTTAAATTTCAATGGTGGCATGCCTTTAGTCAAAGGATCAACAATCATTAATTCAGTGTTAATGTGTTCAATAACCACTGTTTTATCCTTAACACATTCCCTTATGGCTAGGTACTTGATGTCGATGTGCTTGCTTCGACTACCACTTTTGTTGTTTTTAGCCATAAAATAGTAGCTGAATTGTCACAATATATCCTCAATAGCCTAAAAATCGAATCCACAATTCTAAGCCCAGAAATGAAACTCTTTATCCATATACCATGCGAGGTTGCCTCAAAAAAAGATACGAACTCAGCCTTCATAGTGGAAGTAGTAGTCAATGTTTGTTTTGCGCTTCTCCAAGATACAGCTCCACCAACTAGCATAAAAACATATCTTGAAGCTGATTTTAGCGAATCAATGTAGCAGCGTAGTCTGAATCAGAGTAGCCAATCACCTCCAAGTTTTCAGTCCATCTGTACATAAGCATGTAGACTTTGGTCCCTTGAAGGTACCTCATTACCTTATTTGCAGCTCTCTAGTGGTCCACACCTGGATTACTCTAATATCTTCCCAACATCCCAACAGCAAATGCAATGTCAGGTCTTATGCAGACTTGAGCATACATCAGGCTTCCAACAGTAGAAGCATAAGGAATGTTTTTCATTTGTTCCCGTTCAAGATCATTCCTTGTTACCCTTCACAATGGGAGCTATAATGGGTGAACAATCTTTCATCTAAAATCTCTCTAAAACCTTGTTGATATAGGTCTCTTGAGACAAACCCAAAGTGCCTTGAAATCTGTCTCTATGTATTTTGATGCCAATGACATATGTCGCATCACCCATATCCTTCATGTCAAAGTTTTCAGAGAGAAATTGTTTCACTTCATATAGCACACCCTTATCATTAGTTGCAAGTAAAATGTCATCGACATACAGAATAAGGAAACAATCTTGCTCCCACTGGCCTTTTGGTATATACATTGATCTATAATGTTCTCCACGAAACCAAATGAAGAGATAACATCATAAAACTTCAAATACCATTGACGGGAGACTTGTTTCAATCCATATATAAATTTCTTGAGCTTGCATGCCAAATGCTCACCACGACTAGAAGAGAATCCGTCTCGTTGTTTCATGTAAACCTCTTCTTCTAGTTCTCTATTAAGAAATGACGTTTTCACATCCATTTGTTGCAACTCTAAGTTAAAATGTGCAACTAATGCTAGAATGATACGAAGAGAATCTTTCTTAGATACAAGAGAAAAGGTCTCCTTGTAGTCGATTCCTTCCTTTTGAGTGAATCCTTTAGCAATGAGTCTTGCTTTATATCTTTCAATGTTGCCCAATGAGTCTTTCTTCGTCTTATAGACCCATTTACATCCTATGGCTTTGACACCATCAAGCAATTGAACAAGATCCCAGACTCTATTAGTTGCCATAGAATTCATCTCATCTTTCATGGCATCATATCATAAATTTGATTCTTTGCTATCCATAGCTTGTGAAAACGTGTCAGGATCATTTTTGGCTCCAATGTTATAGTCAGACTCTTGTAGATACATGACATAATCACTAGGTATCGCTGATTTCCTCACTCTAGTAGATCTCCTTAAAGTTGTATCAACATTTTCCTGAGGATCATGTTGTGCAACTAGTTGTTCAATAATTTCTAGCAATTCTTGAACATCTTGATCTACTGGATTGTCATCAGTAGTTTGTGGAGCTTAAACAATTGGTTGTCCAACACCTGTTTGAACTTAAGGGGTGTTGTGAATGACAATCAGTCTTTCACTTAAAGTGGAAGGTTGAGTATCAATATAATTCATTTCAGAAATAATGTCCTGAAATCGATTGCTCCCATTAATCAAGTCATTCTCAAGAAACTTTGCATTTCTTGATTCCATAATCCTAGTGCTGTGAGATGGACAGTAGAATCTGTATCCCTTAGACCTTTCAGCATATCCAATAAAATACCCACTAATGGTCCTTGGGTCTAGTTTCCTTTCATGTGGGTTATAAACTCTTACTTTAGATGGGCATCCCCAAATGTGCACATGTCGCAAACTCGCTTCCAACCTTTGAATAACTCAAAAGGCGTCCTTAGAACAGCCTTGGTTGGAACTTGATTCAATATATACGCTGTCGTTTTAAGAGCTTCTGTCCACAAGAATTCATGAAGTTTAGAGTTGCTACGCATACTTCGTACCATGTCCATTAAGGTTAGGTTTCTTCTTTCTGCCACACCATTCTGGTCTAGAGAACCAAGCATAGTGTATTGGGCAACTATCCCATTTTCTTGAAAAAACTTTGCAAATGGACCAGGTGCTTGTCTATTTTCAATGTATCTACCATAGTATTCTCCACCTTTATCTGATCTCACAATCTTAATTTGTTTTCCACATTGTTTCTCTACTCCAGCCTTAAAGACCTTAAAGGCATCCAACGCTTCGTTTGTGTTATGAAGCAAGTAGAGATACATGTAACGTGAGTAATCATCTATGAATGAAATGAAATATTTCAGACCATGTGAGTCCATGTCTGGACTACAAATATCTGTATGTATGATCTTTAATATGTCTGTACTTCTTTTTGCACCTTTCTTAGACTTATTGGTCTGCTTTCCCTTAATGTAGTCCATACAAGTTTCAAAATCAATAAAATCAAGAGTACTGAGTACTCCATTATTCACCAATCTTTTAACTCTTTTAATGGAGATATGCCCTAGTCTATTGTGCCATAACATAGAGGAATACACACATGGTCAGAAGTTCATTGATTGACCATTTATCCTTATGTGTGTTGTATGATATCTTGAAGGGTATGTATTGTTGTGTAAGAGTGTTCAGAATATAGTGCACAAGGAAAGAGTCAGACATTTCAACCTCAAGTGTCTTCAATTGAGCCGCAATGTCCATCATCTGCATGATGTGCTCACGCACACCTCTCATAGTAGTGAACCTTAAGGATGAAAACCTCATGATCAGGGTGCTAGCAAGTGCCTTATTTGAAGACTCAAACTGTTCATAAATGGCATTCATTAATGCTTTGACATTGTTATGCTAGTCAACTGAACCACGAATGCCAGCAGAGATCTTGGTCTTTATGAACATCACACTAAGGAGATTAGATCACACCCAAATTTCATAAAGAGCAATTTCTTCTGACGTGCTGGTCAGAGTAATGACTGGTTCATCTTTCCTTATGGCATAATCAATGTCCATCCACCCCAAATGAAGAAAAACTCTCTCCTTTCATATCTTAGAGTTATCACCCCTTAGTTCGGGAATGTCACATTTCATATAAGAGAAATTCGCAGGTTGCAAGACTGCATAAAAATAAAACGCACATGCTTATAATTAAAATTTAATACTTATAACTTATATCATGTTCTACTAATGTAAATCATGTTCTATGAATGTAGAGATGTAAAACTAGCATGTGGGCTAAAGTTCTAATCCAATTAGATCCATCTATAACCTTATGATAAAACTATCAAATTATGCTTTATTTTCTAATTCCTGTGGGTAAATTAAGAAATTTAATTTGATATTCTATCCTAATTAATCATACAAATATAATTCATGTGGGATAAAATCTATTATATTACATATGATTAATCACAATTAATATCATAATGTAATCCTGAAACACTTAATATATAATTTTAAATAATTAAAGATGATGTGGCTACTCCTTAATTAATTAAAATTATGTGGACCACTTAACATTAATAAATCATAATAAAGGTTCATATTTAATTGCTTGAAACTATATGCAATATTAATCCAAAATATTTAAATATCAATGTACTAATATGTTTCAACCTAATACTGCATGTATAATAAATTATACATAAAATGAATAATATACGCATATAAATATCCAAATTAATTCATTAAAAGTCATTAAAAAATTATTGAACCTTTCATTTAGGTGAGAAATCATAAAAATTATAAAATGGGTGAACATTTACAAAATACCTATATATACATAATTTCTGATTTCCTTTTTTTTTTTAATCTTTATCAAATGACAAGTCGTTTGGTATGTATGCTGCAAAAGTGCTTAAGAAACGACAAGTCGTTTCAGTGTTCCCAATGAAAAATGACACGTCATTTTTTCAAAATGCCTGCAGCTTTTCTTTATTCAAAACGACATGTCGTTTTATATACCAAGGGCAAAATGACATGTAGTTTCTTCCTGATGCTTGCGCTTTTCTTTAACCCAAAACGACACGTCATTTTCCTAGCTAAATGAAAATGACATGTCGTTTTGGCTGTGACCTGCCCATTGATTAACGCCCAAAAGTGATGTTCACACGCGGTCAATTGTAGCACAGAAGGGCGGTCGTATCCACAGAGAGATAACAAAATAACAAGAAAGACTAACAGAATAAGAGCGTTAAAGAAAAAGAATAGTTTTTGAGATTTTGTTGCAAATAAAATAGAAAGGAGGGAATTTGTATGAAGAAAATTCGATAATAAAAACGGTAAGGTGTCGAGAATCCCTAATGTTTCGTTCACCAATCTAAGTTTTGATTCACAATATTAAATAACCGAATAAATTAAATATGTATGTTGACTCCAGAAATATTATTATTACAAGTTATCTAAAATCGACAATATATCAATCTGACAATATTGCAGTAAAAGACAATTTGTAAAATAATTTGAATAACAAAACATTGCATGACAAAATTACATAAGAAAAGCGTGACTGAACTTATATAAAAATTGGCACACAATATTTTGAAAAGTAATAGAAAAATAGACGAGATTTAATTTATTCGGTTGTTGAACTTTACAGCACAAGGAATCAAAATCCCGAATTGGGTCACTCAACAGAAGTTCATCTCTAACCTCACCAAGAAAACTCTAGCCTATCTTGCAAAACATTCTCACAAGTTCTAGAGAGAAAATATGAGACTGACAGCAAGACGACAGAAAACTGAATATTAAAAGCTTCTCAAAACCTTAGGCTAACCCCTTTATTTATAGTATTCAGATGTTGCCTGTCAAATAAGGAAATAAATAGTAAAACTAGAAAATTACAAAAGAAAAGGAAACAAAATAAAAGTACACATAAATTAGGAGAAATCATATATTTGATTTGGGAAGAAATTTGGTAATTTGCTCTGATTTTTGGGGATGGAATTCAGATTCAGCACCAAATGGGACACGTGTCGCAACGTGATTGGAAGTGAGGAGGAAACGTGCCACGTGTCGCATGCGGATTGGTTGGCGTGTGTTGGCGCGATCAGAGTGGAGACAGCTCATGGGACAGATGTCGCGCGCAGAGGAAAGGAGCAAGCTGGCGCACTGAGTCGCGGGGCCCACGTGGAGGAGCGCTTTAACGCGCGCTGATGGCTGCGTGGAAGACACGCGCGCGCTGAGAGATCGGCGTGCTGGTGACGCGCGCGAGAAAGAGTGGGGAAAGGCGGAGAGCTGGGGCCCACGCAGAGAGAGACAGTGGCTTGGCTCGGCTTGGTGCGGCTCGGTGCGGCTCGGCTGAGGCTTGGCTCCGGATGGTTGAAAACATGGCTTTCATGGCTTATTTTTGTGTAGCTTTTTACACTATAAATAATTAAGCAAAAACAAGATAAATTCCAATTAAAAATATTATGAATAAAAATAATGAAATTGTATAATTAAAGTTTAAATATTTTAATATTATATAAATCAAAAGCAGTATTTATGGTGCATTTTCATGCACTAATCACCCATTTCTTCATCAGAAAATGACATGTCATTTTATAAGCCAAAGGGCAAAACGACATGTCGTTTTGACATTGCTTGCACATGTCTTCAATAGAAAACGACTTGTCATTTTCCAAGCCAAATGAAAACGACTTGTCGTTTTCCAAGCCAAATGAAATCGACATGTCATTTTTTCCACTTTTTCTGTGCTTATCTACAACAGAAATGACATGTCGTTTTATACGCAAAATGACATGTCATTTTTTCACACTTGAATCATCTTCAACCTTCAGCCGGGTCGTTTCTGACCCGGTTTCAACTCGAATCAAAACCCAGTTTTTTCTCATGATTTTGACCAAAATTGATGTTTAAAACTAAAAGATGGTAGAAATTCAATTGCTCAATGATTCCTAATCTTAGTTTCAATAAAAAAACGTCAAAATCATAACTTTGAAAACAAAATTTTCTACTGTTTATTAGAAAATTGAAAACGTAAGGAACAACAAAGCAGAGGCAAACTAAGTCTCTGAGACCAAATGTTGGGATTTCTTAATGATCTAAACATTCTCTAAAGGATCGAAAATAGCAATTAGATCGAATGCAGAATTAAAAGAAACGGATCAAAAGAGCACCTCCAGCCATTGATGTTCTCGGTGGGAAAAAAAGGAAAAACTCGGTTTCAGTTCTTCTAAACCTCTCAACTCTCGTTGATGGTGTATATTTGTTCTTTTAAACCTCACTCAATCTCTCGTTGATGGTGTATATTTCGACTGAATGGAGATTGCAGGCTTAAGAGACCAAAACCGTGTGTGCACTGCCCTTTTTATACACTTTACCCATCACAGAGTGCTTTGTGGACGTGCATCGTCAGTGGGCAACGTGGGCAGCGAATGAATGTGGGCAACCAGTGTAAACACGTTCCTAGAGTGGTGGAATATGATGGACCACATTCTGGGGATCAAGGCTTCGGTTAGTTACCGAAGTTTAAGGAAAAAAATCCAACAAAAAATACCATTTCTTTGAGACTACTGGCATCATGCAGACTGAGGATCTATCAATAAGATATTGAATTTTGTAAATTTTCTCCCTAAAAGAATAATGACTTGTTCATTTGCATCTAAACTTAAAAAAAGTTTGAACTTAAGTTCAAATTTTTTTTTTAAGTTCACGTTTTTTTTTATTATAAAGTTTAAGTTTGAATTTGAGTTTTAACTTGAGTTTAGAGCTAAAAGTTAAGTTTAAAATTCTTCTTTCAACTCAAGTTCCTAAACTTAAAGTCAAGTTAATGAACAATATTTTTTCTATTCTTAAAAACGTAATTTTTTCGTTTTAATTCCAATTGAGATGATTTTTTTTATGTGTTCACAACGACGAGACAAATAAAACACCACTCATATACCATATTAAAATTTTTCATCACCATTGAGTTTTTATTAAAATACTATCCAAATACAAATTCAAATTTTAACCCACCTAAACACAAATAGATTCTCAAGTTTAAGATCTGAACTCAAATCACCCTAACTCAAACAAATGTAAATGAACAAACCCTAAGAATCTTATAAAGTTTGCATTTTAGTGGTAGAACTACTATACAGTATAAAGCAACAAAAATACTCAACTTTTTTTTTCATAGATATTATAGTAGTTTAAGGTTGGGACTTGGGATTTGGTAATGATATATTTGTGCAGATACCACAATAGAATGAGTATTACTATCTGTATTATGTCATTAGAGCCAACACAAGCCAAATGTAATCCGGAAATGAAAAAAAGGGAGGCTTTCTATTTCAATGGGTTAAAGAAAAGAAGTTCTATTTAAACTAAAGCTATTTATAAAATAATGGCAATCAATTTCCTATCTGCCCCATTCTAACAAAGATCTAGCCATAACAAGAAAATTTCAAATAAGTTTGTCTCATTTCTTCTTTTTGGAAGGAGGTTGCGGTTCCTCATCTTCATCTTCGTCGTCGTCATCACTATAATTGCTATCACTATCCTCGTCATCCTCATCCTCATCATCTTCGTCACTGCTGTCATCTTCGTCATCACTTCTATCCTCATTTTTATCAGAATCCTCATCATCAGAATCATCCTCCCCATCATCGTTTTCTTCTTCCGAGTCATCATCTTCATCCGTATCACGATCATCCTCATCACCTTCACTATAATCATTCTCTTCAGTTTCACTAGCGTCCTTGTTTTCTTCAGCACGCTCTTTCACTTTAAAAAGTTCAGCCACTGGAAACCTGCAATGCAGTTAAATATTAAGTAGCCCAGTTACTTGCTCATCCTCTATATTATGAATATCTTAAAACAGAATTAGTACACAAGGTGGACAAAGTTTTTCTCTTTCTTACCTCTGATATTTTCCTATTATATCCATAGAAGTATTACAATGATCGGGCAGTGATCCAATCTGTTCAATAAAATCAATAATTAAGGTAAGTCCACAAAAAACCATTAAGGACAAAATGCTCAAGAAACCATAAAAGTTAACAAATCACACCAATCTCAATTCCCAATAAGTTGACATGAAGCCAAAAAAAAAAAATTTCTATATGTGTCTGCCGCTTATTTAAGTTAAGAACTTGAGTTAAAAAATAAATTTATGCGAGAAAAAACACTGTGGTAACAAAAAAGTTGAACTTGAATATTTAGGAGAGAAACACTGTAGCAAAACTTAAGTTGTAATTCGAATTAACGAAACAAATGACAGTCAAAGCTTAAGTCCATCCATAAAAGGGTGGCATTGAAAATTTAAAAAAAATAAAAAAAGATGATGACAAAGAGAACCACTGCAATGTGGAATACGACCAGCAAATTTTTGAAGCCAGTGCAGAGTTGAAGGTAAAATGATACTTCGCTTCTTGTATGGGTTAATTTTAGAACTAACACCAAAACAGAGATTTTAAAAAAAAAAAAAAAAAAAACAGAGAATTCTATTGGTCTACAGTCAATATAACATTGGAGTCTATGATATCACTTATTTATAATTACTAAAACACGGATTTTCCGTTTAACACTGAGATTGGCCCACAAAGCTCAAAGGGGGTATTGATGCTTTGCTTGGAGTCCGGGTTTTAAATACTCTCATATCTGAAATAGCCTTAACAAATCCCAAACTTTTCTTTTTGTATCTCCACAATGGAAAGCTAAATCCAAAATAATAATCACAGACTGCAGATTACACAAACTCTCTTATATAACATGACAAAATCACACCGCTTAACTCAAAGTTTGGCTCCCAATTTTCACTCATAAATAAGAACACTACTCGATAACCATGATTAAACTGTGCGAAATAGAAAAAATAAAAAATAAAAACAAAAAGTGGACCAAAAATAAAAAATAAAAAAGGACAAGCACTACATCCATTACATTCTCTAAAGCCCTGATACCATTAATAAAACTAAACACACACAATAGCCAAAAAAGCATGAAAATTTCAAACACACTTTTGAAGAAACATATCCAAAAGCCACAATCACAAACTACCCATGAAAAATTCCCTCGTCGAATTAACAGAGCAACAAAAAAAGCTTTTTTTTGTTTCAAATAATTTACAAACAAAAGTAATCAAAGACCATGCTTTTGGCTACTGGGAAGCGGGAAACGTACCAGAGAGAGAAGCGAGAGAAGAGATTTCTGAGCGAGCAAAGCAGTGTCCAGCGCCAAGGATTGGACAAAAGGGAATAGTAAGCTCTCGAAATCAGCAACCGCGTGGCTAGGATTCTGGGACAGCATTCTGTGATGAAAGTGGGTATGGTGTGGAAAATTTTTAGAGTTTTAGGTTCGGTGAAGACGGAAGAAGACCAATTGATGGGCAGAAAAATGACTAGGGTTTTGACTTTTGTTCTTCGGCTCTGACTCGTAATTCCTAAACAAGCCAATTCTAGGATATATCCACTAGTTATTTGCTTACTTAAATAAATATAATTAATTAAATTATAATCCAACTCTTTTTTTTTTTTTTTTTTTTTTTTTCATTTCTACTTTATTTCCTGAAAAAAAAAGAGGGCCTTAGGCCCATATAGGCATCTGAGGCCACGCAGTAGGCCAGTGCATGAACCCGACCCACCTGCTTCTTGACGTGTCATTACTCTCCCTCCCTCCCGACCCACCTGCTTCTTGACGTGTCATTACCCTCCCTCCCTCCCTCTATGTTGATTGTTGATATTCTTTTTTGTATACCTTTTTTCTTCTTAAGAGAAGGAGACGAATATCCCCCTCTTAAACTGCACTCTTACTATTTATTTTTAATTAATACTTTTTAAAATTAAATGATTATATTATTAATGGGTATTAATTAAAAGTAAGAGAGTAGACATATACACCTTTAAAGGTAAGTTTAAGTAATTTTTTTTTTTTTTTTTCCCTAAGGCGCAAGCCCAATATTCCGTCCTCGCAACAAAAATGAATATGGTCTGTTGTTCAAGCCATGTTTGGAGATCTCTCATATGTCTTGATTTTTGGTGGATTACGAACAATAACATTTAGCTAAAGTCGGTGTTTTATCCTGTTAATTTAGTTGAAAATTAGTGGATTATTAAAAAATAAGATCAAATTTATCTTGCCTTCAGTAACCCTTTAATTCAACAGACGTTTTTCTTTTAATAGTTCATTATTTAGGGATTTGAAAAAAGAATATTTACTGTTTTGTAGTTTAGTGTGTGTTACTAGAGGTTTTCGTTGATCGACCAACGAATTTTGTCGGTTCAGTTGCTGACCAATTGCGTGGGTTTTTAAAAACTGTAAACTGACGCCAATTAATGAAAAGTATCTTCATCGGTAAACCGCACAACTCATTGATTTTCAATTGGTCGTCATTGATGTTTGGTTTTGATAAAATCACACAATATAAATGGAATAAGTTATTTATTTAAAACAACTTCAGAATATGATAAAAAAAAAATTCTAAAATACCTACAAAAACATAAAAGATGACATCAGTGGTAAATTAAGGGCCAATTTGGTATTGTTGTGTTGTTAAAAATTAATGTTATTATTGTACTTTTAATTAAAAATTATTGTGACCAAAAGCATGTAGATGTTTGATAAAAAAATTTTCCTAAAATTGTTGTGAATACCAAAAGCAGAAATTTTGATGTTTGGTAAACTATTTATAAAAAGATGTATAATCACTAAAACATATATAATTTAGCACACATGTTTATAGTTAGTTTCATTTTTATTTTTTCTCAAAATAAAAAATACTATATTTAAGGTCAATATTCATAGTATTTTTATACCAAAATTCTAAAAAATATATAGGACTTTAATTTATTATATAAATGTTTTATAAAAATAAATTGTTAAATTATTTTCTATTGTTGTTATCTTAAACAATTTGATAATTATAAAAAATATTTTAGTAAAATTTAACATAGTATATTTATAAAATATTTTAATTTTTAAATAAATATTGATAAAATATTTTTTAATTTGGTATGAAAAAATAAAATGGGTAAATAGATTATTAAGTTTCCTTTAATAAATTTGGACAAGTAGTTGCGTAAAAATAACCCATGACCTTCTTTTCAAATTCTATTGTTTGGTACCAATTTTTAGAAGCGGCTAGATAAAAGTAAGATTTACAAAACACCCAAACCTATTGTAATTTAAAAAAAAAAATTAAAATTAAAAGCAGCCTCATGTGTTAAAATCTAAAACAAATAATACCTACCTTTGAGGACGTGCAGACACAACAACGCTGATAGCTTCACTCACAAATGTGCCACGATGGTGACAATGAGTTGGCGACATGCGTGACGACGATAGTAAGGGAGGGTGATTGGGCAAGCGGGTAATGGCTAGGAGGAGCTAGGATTTTTACTAATTTCTACACTGAAGAAGAACATATTTTATATTTTATATTGCACAAAATGTATATTTAGAAAAAAAAAAAAAATTGGGTGCGTTTGGTTTATGAATTAGAACCATGTAATTAGAACTATTTTTGATTTACGTGTATTTTTTGTGAGAGAAAATACTGTAGCGAACCACGAACCATGATTCGAATCAGGGAACGAATCCATCTACCAAACATCACTAGTCGGTTAGGTTCCGAATCAATTCCTAAATCAAGGCATCGAAAGATCGAATTGTCAAATGGCTGGGCAATTCGGTCTTTGGAATTGAAAGGTTTGATTCCACATATCACTAATTTTGGGGTTTAGAGGGATCGATTCTTTAATCTTAAACGGTCAGTCGGTTTTTATTTTTTGATATTTTTAAATTTTTCTAATGAGTTAAAAATTTATCCATAAATTATGAAGTTTATATCTGTTCTTTTAAGAGTTAAAATCAATTGTTGATAAAAAAAAATAATAATCAAATTCATATGAATTTAAATTTAAAAAATACACCTTTTTTCTCAATTTTTTCGCTCTTAAAAGATACAATCACAAATACATCTGAAATAAAGATTTTTTTTTAAAAAAAAGGATAATAGTTTTCGCGGTTCCTTTTATTTGTTTCTTGAAATGCATATTCCTAGTCCTACTATCTTTATGAGAAGCTTTCCATTTCCTATTGGAAACCGAACTCTTGTATTATATAAGGCAAGCGAGTTAGGAGAAATCATGAATACAATTATACACCACCTGCTCCTAAATAGCTTTCTCTTCCGACTCGATAGTTATACAAGTTTCACTTCACACCCTAACCATAAACCAAGAACCGCTTCCTTCCACCACATTACAAACTCGACAAATCCCTCTCGACACTTGAACACGGAGAAATTAAAGAAAGAAATCAAAAGAAAGAGTTTCTCTCTCTCTAAAAAACGACTCTCTCTCTCCTCCCATTCCTACCATGGCTACTACAATGGCGTCGTCGTCTTCTCCTAGGGCAAGACCGGATAATTCAGCGCTTTGCAGGACTCGCAGCTCATCGCAGTCGTTGTCTTCGGGATTCGCGTCGTCCAGGCCCTTCCTCACTCGCTCCTCCTCCCCCACTCGCGTCAGCATGTACGGAAGCTCCATCTCTCCGGGGCGACGTTCGATGTCGGTGACGAAGCAGTCCAACGGCGCCCCCGGAAACGTCAACGATAACGGTAACGGTAACGGCGTGGTTTCCAAGCCGAAGAAGACATGCATGTGTGCCCCTACGACGCACCCAGGCTCGTTCCGGTGTTCTCTCCACAAGAACTCTCCGCGTGGAGGTGCCCAGAAAACGCCGTCGTTTAGTTCCAACAGCCGCAGGCAGTACTTGATGAGATCAGCGATGGCTAACTCGCTGATCAGGAACAGAGTAGTTGAAGGCGAGTTGATGAAAAGATCGTTGTCGGCTCTGATCAGGCCTTCGTCAAACCAGCAGCGGAGCCGAGAGACATTTCAGCCGAAGCCAAGCAGACTCTCCGTGATGTCCAGAGCCCAAGATTCTTGAATTTTTTTTTAATCTTGATAGGCTATTTTTCCTTTTTTTTTTTTTTGGGATAAATATGTAGGTTCCGAGTCATGCTGTTTTCTGATGATTTTTTGGTTTCTTGAAAACAGAAAAGGAGCTCAGTTTGTGGAGTTTTCTTTTTTTTTTTCTTTTGTTGGGGTTCAAATATTATCGAAGCTAGTATTTTTTGCTTCGTATTATTAAGTTCAGAATATTAATCAATCAGTATATTAAGTTCAAAATATTAATTTGTAAATAGTATTCATTGTGTCATCCCGTTTATGAACTTAAACCTATTTACCAAATAAACTGAAACCGTCAACTTTACGGATGATTCAATAGTCATGTAATCATCCCCTCAGAAAATAGTCACGTAAATTGAAATTGCCACCTGGTATATGGGGAACTGTAAACAAGTGGATTAAGTACTTGTGAAATTTTCTCCATGTTTATTACACGTAGATTGAAGAAACTTTTCTTCTATAAAATATTATTGTTGGAATTTCTTCTACCCAATAAATATATTGTTGGGTTCGGTTTGTAGCAATGATCAAATAAATTTTTTTTTTTCACGAAATAAAAAATCCGACGGTGAAGATGACTTGAAAGTCAGGGTATCTTTGTAAAAATGTAATTAGTCCACGATCGGTAGTGAATTATGGATTTTATTTCAAAATAGTATAAACTAAACACGTGAAAAATGTTAAAAAAATCTTAAAATATCATCTCTTAATTAGGAAAATTTTCATTTTAATACTTCTACAATATTGAATTTGAGTTTGGTATCTTCATGTTTTTAAAAATTTCATGCCGGTACCTTAACCTTTTAAAAAATCTTTCTTGGTATTTCGGAGTCATTTTTTGACACAAATTAAAAGAAAAAAAATTGCCTTTATTATAAAAATTCATCAATTGATTAGAATTTTAAAAGAAAAAAAGGATTTTAAAAATTGTTATACATGTAACCAAACACCCAAACCTAAAACTTCATGGTATTTGGTGACATGTATAACAATTTTTAAATCCTGTTTTTCTTCAAATTATGATCAACAGATGACTTTTTATAATAAGGACAATTTTATCTTTTTGTGTTCCAAGAAATAGCTTTGAGGTACAAATTTTTTTTTTTTTAAAAAGTCGAGGTACCGACATGAAATTTTCAGAAACAGAGGGTGCCAAACACAAATTTCGATATAATAGAGCGTACCAAATGAAACTTTCCCATACTACTAACTAATTTGAAGTCTATGTTTCATCGTACATATTTAATTTATTAAATTTCTTGCATAGATATAAAATTTTGTAAAGAGTAATTTTTTTTTTCAAAAAAAAATTACCATTCTCCTAAGTTTTTACTTAGTAAAAAAATAAATATAGTATGATGGACTGAAATGAACATTTTCAATTAAAATTTGTTTTGGGTTCGATATTATATGTGTGCAGACGACACGAGAACATATTTGAGTAGTGAAAAACTTTAGGGGGTAAATTGGATAGAAAATTA